AGGGGGGATGAGAGAGGGGGGAGAGAGGGGGGAGGAGGAGAGGAGAGAGAGGAGGGGGGAGAGGAGAGAGGGGGGAGAGGAGAGAGGAGAGGGGGGGGGAGAGGGAGGAGAGGGCGAGGAGAGCGAGGAGCGAGAGAAGGGGAGAGGAGAGAGAGAGGGGGGGAGAGAGAGAGGAGAGAGAAGAAGATGAGAGAGGGGGAGAGAGGGGGGAGAGAGAGAGGGGGGAGAGGGGGATGAGAGAGAGAGACGAGAGGAGCGGGGGGAGAGGGGGGGGGAGAGAGAGGGGGGGGGAGAGGAGGGAGAGAGAGAGAGAGAGAGGAGGGGGGAGAGAGGGGGGGGAGAGAGAGGAGGGGGAGTTGAGAGGGGGAGAGAGAGAGGTGGGGGAGAAGAGGGGGGAGAGAGAGGAGGGAGAGAGCGAGATGTGTGTAATGGTATGCAGGGTGGGAGGAGAGAACAGAATGATCCAGAGAAACAGAGGGTTTTATAGATTCCTTGGAAGTGAGTGACGCGGGGGAGTGAGTAAGAGCAGGTTTCGGTTAAGAAAGAGTATGAAGGGGAGGAGAGGAGAGGGGGGTAGATAACGAGGGAAGGGGAGGGGGTGGAGGAGGGGGGTGGAAATGAGAGGAGCTGGTGAGGACAAGAGAGGAGGGGGAGGGGGGTGGAAATGAGAGGAGGCTGGTGGAGGACCCAAGAGGGGACACGAGGAGGGGCGGGGGGTGGAAAGGGGGGTGGAAATGAGAGGAGCTGGTGGAGGATAAGAGGAGGGGAGGGGGGTGGAAATGAGAGGAGCTGGTGGAGGACAAGAGGAGGGGAGGGGGGTGGAAAGGTGGATGGAAATGAGAGGAGCTGGTGGAGGATAAATGTGCAAACACCTACTTGTGGACATTGCTATGCCGAACTGGGAAGTCTGAGATTGAGGGATGAGGGGTGGAGGTGGGGTTTAGTGCATACCGTTATGTTATCGTCATCGTAGCTGGTACACTCACGTTTAACACATTATAATCTGGAAGAAATATATGGAGTATAACATGATTAGGAATACTATTTGTCCTCGTAAGTGGGGTCTGTAAGGTCTTCAACATTTACATTTTAGTCATTTAGCAGACGCTCTTATCCAGAGCGACTTACAGGAGCAATTAGGGTTAAGTGCTTTGCTCAAGGGCACATCAACAGATTTTTCACCTAGTCGGCTCAGGGATTAGAACCAGAGACCTTTCGGTTACTGGCACAACGCTCTTAACCACTGAGCTACCTGCCGCCTTCAACATGACTCCTATACCATAGTGGGGTCTGTCTGTAAGGTCTTCAACATGACTCGTATACCATAGTGGAGTCTGTAAGGTCTTCAACATGGTGTTGACTAGTGGAATTATACTGAATAAAAATATAAACGCAACATGTAAAGCGTTGGTCCCATGTTTCTTGAGCTGAAATAAAACATCCCAGAAATTTTCCATACGCACAAAAAGCGTATTTCTCAAATTTTGTGCACAAATGTGTTTACATCCCTGTTAGTGATAATTTCTCCTTTGCCAAGATAATCCATCTACCTGACAGGTGTGGCATATCAAGAAGCTGATTAAACAGCATGATCATTACACAGGTGCACCTTGTGCTGGGGACAATAAAAGTCACACAACACATTGCCACAGATGTGTCAAGTTTTGAGGAAGCATGCAATTGGCATGCTGACGGAAGAAAAGTCCACCAGAGCTGTTGCCAGAGAATTGAATGTTCATTTCTCTACCATAATCCGCCTCCAATGTCGCTTTAGAGAATTTGGCAGTACGTCCAACCGGCCTCACAACCTCAGATCATGTGTAACCACGCCAGTCCAGGACCTCGACATCCGGCTTCTTCACCTGCAGGATCGTCTGAGACCAGCCACCCGGACAGCTGATGAAACTGTGGATTTGCACAACTGAGGAATTTCTGCACAAACTGTCAGAAACCGTCTCAGGGAAGCTCATCTGCGTTCTCGTCGTCCTCACCAGGGACTTGACCCTACTGCAGTTCGGCGTCGTAACTGACTTCAGTGGCCAAATGCTCACCTTCGATGGACACTGGCACGCTGGGGAAGTGTGCTCTTCACGGATGAATCCCCGTTTCAACTGTACCGGGCAGATGGCATCGTGTGGGCGAGCGGTTTGCTGATGTCAACGTTGTGAACAGAGTGCCCCATGGTGGCGGTGGGGTTATGGTATGGGCAGGCATAAGCTATGGACAATGAACACAACTGCATTTTATTGATGGCAATTTGAAAGCACATTCATCCAACGCCATCACCTCATGCTTCAGCATGTTAATGCACTGGCCCCATCTCGCAAGGATCTGTACACAATTCCTGGAAGCTGAAAATGTCCCAGTTCTTCCATGGCCTGCATACTCAACAGACGTATTAACCATTAAACATGTTTGGGATGCTCTGGATCAACGTGTACGACAGTGTGTTCCAGTTCCCGCCAATATCCAGCAACTTCGCACAGCCATTGAAGAGGAGTGGGACAACATTCCACAGGCCACAATCAACAGCCTGATCAACTCTATGCGAAGGAGATGTCACGCTCCATGAGGCAAATGGTGGTCACACCAGATACTGACTGGTTTTCTGATCCACGCCCCTACCATTTTGGAAAAAGGGATCTGTGACCAATTGTGATGAGGTGTGAATGAAGGAGTCAGGAGCAGGAGGTAAAACACTGAAGTACAGAGTTTATTCCGTTTACATAAATAAAACGCACCCAGCGTCAAAACGAAACTATCACAAGGGAAAATATTCCACCTTGGCAATAACAAATGGAAGAGTAGCTCAACCGAGCTCCTCGCTCTCACAATGAATCAATCACTCACAAAGACAAGGGGAACAGAGGGAACACTTATACACATACTAATTAGGGGAATGAGCACCAGGTGTGCGTGTTTGACAAGACATGACAAGTGGAGTGATGAGAATGGGATCGGCAGTAGCTAGTAAGCCGGTGACGACGAACGCCGAAACCTGCCCGAACAAGGAGGGGAGGCAGCCTCGGCAGAAGTCGTGACACCAATAGATGCATATCTGTATTCCCAGTCGTGGAATCCATAGATTAGGGCCTAATGCATTTATTATATAACTCAGTAAAGTCTTTGAAATTGTTGCATGTTGCGTTTATATTTTTATTCAGTGTATATTCTCCTGTATTGGAAGGACACAGACAAAAATTAGCCTGTTAACACTTTTGATAATGTTGTTTATTTGGGATTTGTGTGGACATGTGTGGACATATCATTGGATGACTGAGTAAAGCCTTTTAGTGAGAACAATAAAAAAGAGAAGCAAGATTTCAAACCTATTGATGAACCTATTGATGAACCTATTGATGAATCTAGTGATGAACCTATTGATGAATCTAGTGATGAACCTAGTGATGAACTAGTGATGAACCTATTGATGAACCCATTGATGAACCTAGTGATGAACCTAGTGATGAACCTATTGATGAACCTATTGATGAACCTATTGATGAATCTAGTGATGAACCTATTGATGAATCTAGTGATGAACCTATTGATGAATCTATGATGAACCTATTGATGAACCTATTGATGAACTATGATGAACCTAGATGACTATGATGAACCTATTGATGAACCTATTGATGAACCTATTGATGAACCTATTGATGAACCTAGTGATGAACCTAGTGATGAACCTATTGATGAACCTATTGATGAACCTATTGATGAACCTATTGATGAACCTAGTGATGAATCTAGTGATGAACCTATGATGAACATGATGAACCTATTGATGACTATGATGAATTAGTGATACATCTATAGAACTATTGATGAACCTATGATGAACCTATTGATGAACATTGATGAATTCTGATGAACCTATTGATGAACCTATGATGAACTAGTGATGAACCATTGATGAACTATTGATGAACTAGTGATGAACCTATTGATGAACCTATTGATGAACCTATTGATGAATCTAGTTATGAACCTATTGATGAACCTATTGATGAACCTATTGATGAATCTAGTGATGAACCTATTGATGAATCTATTGATGAACCTATTGATGAACCTATTGATGAACCTATTGATGAATCTAGTGATGAACCTATTGATGAACCTATTGATGAACCATTGATGAATTAGTGATGAACCTATGATGAAACCATTGATGAAACCTATGATGAATCTAGTGATGAACCTATTCAAATCAAATCACATTTTATTGGTTGTGACAAGTTAGAAGTGTTTGGCGGGTGCAGCAAATGCTTTGTACTAGGCAGAGGGCAGGGTACTGGGCAGAGGGCAGGGTACTGGGCAGAGGGCAGGGGTAACTGGACAGAGGGAAGGGAAACTGGAGAGGGCGGTGTATGGACAAGGGAGTTACTCAGGCCGTATGGAAGGAAGGACTGGCGAACATGGTGTTTAGGGAGTATGGACAGGGGCATATACATGGGATGACTGGTAAGCTTAGTGAGGACTGAAAAGAGGGCAGATTAACCTATGATGACCCTATTAGCACAGGATGAATCAGGCAGAACTGGAGAAGGGAGACTTTGAGAAGCAGTACTGGAACAGAGGACTATGACAACCAGTGAGAGCCAGTGATGAAACCATTATGGGCATGATGACGGTGAGGGAACTAGTACTGGAACCTATTATGTATGGAGAGCAGTATGGACAGAGACCATTGTACTAATGAGGCTAGGTACTGGTGGACAGTGATGACTATGATGGGACTTTGGAAGAGCATTATGACAGGGAGTAACCTATGGGATGACCTATGGGAGCAGGGACTTTGAGACCATGAGAACTGCATGAGGAAGCTATTCAAGACAAGCAAGAGGTTGGACACGGGTATGAGGCAGTGTATGGCGGGGCAAATGGTTATGTGCCGTACTCAAGGCAGTAATGGCAACAAGGAGTATAACAACATATAAAGTGTCTAACATTTAGACAGAGGAGTAAACTGAGCATTTTAAAGTGAGTGTTCAATGAGTCTAGACAAGGGCAGAGTCCCTAAGGGCAGGGTAGTGGCCAGTGGTACCACAGACAGGTACTGGAAGGGCAGGAGGCAGAGGCGGGTAGGGCAGAGGGCAGGGTACTGGGCAGAGGGCAGGGTACTGCAAGGTAGGGACTGGGCAGGGTACGTAGGGACAGAGGGCAGGGTACTGGACAGAGGTAGGGTAGTGGACAGAGGCAGGGTACTGGGCAGAGGGCAGGGTACTGGCAGAGGGCAGGGTACTGGGCAGAGGGCAGGGTACTGGGCAGAGGGCAGGGTACGAGGGCAGGGTACTGGGCAGAGGGCAGGTTGGGAGAGGGCAGGGTACTGGGCAGAGGGCAGGGTATTGGACAGGGCAGGGACTGGGCAGAGGGTAGGGCTGGACGGGAGGAGGGTACTGGACAGAGGGCAGGGTACTGGACAAAAGGGCAGGGTACTGGGCGGAGGGAGGGTATGGACAGAGGGCAGGGTACTGGACAGAGGGCAGGGTACAGCAGGGACAGGGTACTGGGACAGAGGGCAGGGTACTGGCGGAGGGCAGGGTACTGGGCGGAGGGCAGGGTAGTGGGCGGAGGGCAGGGTACTGGGCAGAGGGCAGGGTAGTGGGCGGAGGGAAGGGTACTAGGCAGAGGGCAGGGTACTGGGCAGAGGGCAGGGTACTGGGCAGAGGCAGGGTACTGGACAGAGGGCAGGGTACTGGGCAGAGGGCAGGGTACTGGACAGAGGGAGGGTATGGGCAGAGGGCAGGGTATGGGCGAGGGAAGGGTACGGGCGAGGCAGGGTATGGCGAGGGAAGGGTACTGGACAGAGGGCAGGGTACTGGACAGAGGGCAGGGTACTGGGCGGAGGGCAGGGTACTGGGCAGAGGGCAGGGTACTGGGCAGAGGGCAGGGTACTGGCAGAGGGCAGGGTACTGGGCAGAGGGCAGGGTACTGGGCAGAGGGCAGGGTACTGGACAGAGGGCAGGGTAGTGGGCAGAGGGCAGGGTACTGGACAGAGGGCAGGGTACTGGACAGAGGGCAGGGTACTGGACAGAGGGCAGGGTACTGGACAGAGGGCAGGGTACTGGACAGAGGGCAGGGTACTGGGCAGAGGGCAGGGTACTGGACGAGGGAGGGTAGTGGGCGAGGCAGGTAGCGAGGCAGGGTACTGGACAGAGGGAAAGGGTACGAGGGCAGGGTAGGGCAGAGGGCAGGGTACTGGGCAGAGGGCAGGGTACTGGGACAGAGGGCAGGGTACTGGACAGAGGGGGCGCAGAGGGGTACTGGGCAGAGGGTAGGGTACTGGCAGAGGGCAGGGTACTGGACAGAGGGCAGGGTACTGGGCAGAGGGCAGGGTACTGGGCAGAGGGCAGGGTACTGGGCAGAGGGCAGGGTACTGGGCGGAGGGCAGGGTAGTGGGCAGAGGGCAGGGTACTGGGCAGAGGGCAGGGTAGTGGGCAGAGGGCAGGGTACTGGGCGGAGGGCAGGGTACTGGACAGAGGGCAGGGTACTGGACAGAGGGCAGGGTACTGGGCGGAGGCAGGGTATGGGCAGAGGGCAGGGTACGTGGCAGAGGGCAGGGTACTGGGGCAGGAGGGCAGGGTTATGGGCAGAGGGCAAGGGTACTGGCAGAGGGCAGGGTAGTGGGCAGAGGGCAGGGTACTGGGCAGAGGGAAGGGTACTGGCAGAGGGCAGGGTACTGGGCAGAGGGCAGGGTACTGGGCAGAGGGCAGGGTAGTGGGCATGTAGAGTAGTGGGCAGAGGGCAGGGTACTGGACAGAGGGCAGGGTACTAGCAGAGGGCAGGGTAGTGGGCAGAGGGCAGGGTACGGGTGGAGGGCAAGGGCAGGGCGGGTACTGGCAGAGGGCAGGGTATGGGCAAGCAGGTGGTACTGGACAGAGGGCAGGGTACTGGACAGAGGGCAGGGTATGGGCACAGGGCAGGGTAGTGGCAAGGGCAGGGTACTGGGCGGAGGGCAGGGTACTGGGCAGAGGGCAGGGTACTGGACAGAGGGCAGGGTAAGCTGTTTAACAGTCTAATGGCCTGGAGATAGAAGCTGTTTTTCAGTCTCTTGATCCTAGCTTTGATGCACCTGTACTGTCTCCTCCTTTTAGGTGATAGTGGGGTTGAACAGGCCGTGGCTCGGGTGGCTGAGGTCCTTGATAATTGATGAACCTTTGTGAACCTTGCCTCTAACCAATCAGAGTATCAAAGCCAATGACACATTTTCAAAACACCACTTTACCCACGTGTGTTCTGGCTCTTGCCCAACCCATCAGTTTGTGGGACCAATCAGAACGGTTAGAATTTGTTTGTGTTCTAGAAATCGTCAGGGAGGTACTCAGATCCAGACTCATTGAGGAGAAGAATCGAACGTCCGTGGGCGTGGCCTAGCGTTTGGGTAGCCAGGCAGATGTGAACCAATCCCTTTTACACAAACCGCTCTTTTCATCCAACCCTCCATATTTAGCTCAATGAGTGCAAGTACAATGACAGAGAACATAGAGTATATGAACCGAATGATGAACTTCTATGAAATTATTGACCAACCCTTATAGACTGAACTCTCTGTCCATCCATCTCTCCTTCTCTCCATCCATCTCTCCCTCCCTCTCTAGCCCGATGCCCACCTATCGCGTTGACGCTGATAAAGGCTTTAACTTCTCCCTGGCGGACGACGCCTTCGTGTGTCAGAAGAAAAATCACTTCCAGGTCACCGTGTACTGCGGCATGCTGGGAGATCCCAAGTACATCAAGACCAGCGAGGGCCTCCAGCCTATCGACTGCTTCTATCTCAAACTCAATGGGGTTAAGGTGAGGGAGGAGAGGTGATCCTTTGTGAATCCCTAATCATCCCCTAGCCTTTAGCTCCTAGCTGACTTCCCTCCTGTAGATGTAAGATATTGGATAGGTTTTAAACAAAATGATAAGAATTGGTTCAACTTGCCTTCTGATTAGCAAGGGGGAGGTTTGGCCACCTATCCAATCCCTTCAGGTCTACATGAGGAAGGGGCCAGGGTTTGATTTAATTTAATACTACTTTCTTTCATCAACTGACTGAATCGTCTCCTGTGTTGCCTTCCAGCTGGAAGCCATGAACCAGTCCATCAACGTGGAGCAGTCCCAATCAGACCGAAGCAAGAGACCATTCAAACCAGTCCTGTGAGTCTCTGTCTCCTAGCACTGATTTGGCTATTAGCTAGAGAATGATTGTGATCCCTCTGAATGAGACCGTCTGCTAAATTACTCAAATGTAAATAGGTCACGGAGGGAGGAAAATACTGTATATGAGAGGGGAAGGCAAAGACACCATTTTGAAAAAGTCGAAAAGGTAATGTTTAACGTGTCATTTGTAATGTTTAACGTGTTTTCAGGGTGACAACATCCCCCGAGCGGTTTACCAAGGTAAAACCGTGGGAGACTACACTTCAGTGAACCACAGCCAATAACATGAGGAAGAAAGGCCAAACCCAACCCTGACCAAAAGGGTAATATACTAACGCACCCAACCCTGACCAGAGGTAATATACTAACGCACCCCACCCTGACCAGAGGTAATATACTAACACACCCCACCCTGACCAGAGGTAATATACTAACACACCCCACCCTGACCAGAGGTAATATACTAACACACCCCACCCTGACCAGAGTATATACTAACGCACCTGACCAAGTAATAGACTAACACACCCCACACCCCTGAACCAGAGGTACTATACTAACATCACCCTGAACCATAGGTAATAGTGACTAACACACCCCACCCCTGACCCACTGTAATCTACGAAACACTACCACCCTGACCAGAGGTAATATACTAACACACCCCCACCTGACCTAGGTAAATATACTACACACCCCACCCTGACCAGAGGTATAACTAACACACCCCACCTGACCAGAGGTAATATAACTAACTCACACCCTGACCAGAGTAATATACTAACAAAACACACGCCCTCGACCCAGAGTATATACTAACACAACCCCACCCTGACCAAGTTAATATACTAACACACCTGAACCATAGGTAATATACTACACACCCTGACCAGAGAGGTAATATACTAACACACCCCCACCTGACCAGAGGTAATATACTAACCACCCACCCTGACCGAGGTAATATCCTTAACACAAACCCCACCCTGACCAGAGGTAACTATACGAACACCCCCTGACCAGAGGTAATATACTAACACCCCTGACCGAGAATATACTAACCACCCCACCCGACCAAGGTAATATACTAGACACGACCCCCCCTGACCAGAGGTAATAATACTAACACACCCCACCTGCCATAGGTTAATATACTACACACCCTGACCATAGTAATATACTAACACAACCCTGCCAGAGGATATACTAACACACCTGACCAGAGGTAATATACTACACACCCGGACCAGATGTAATTATACTAACCACACCTCCCACCTGACCAGAGGTAATTACTAACACAACACCCTACCAAGTAATATACTAACACCCACACCCCTGACGCATAGTAATATACTAACACCCCCACCCTGACCCAGAGTAATTACTAACACACCCAACCTACCAAGTTAATATACTCACACACCCCACCCTAACCAGAGGTAATACTACTAACACACCCCACCCTGACCAGCGTAAATACTAACACCCTGACCAGAGTAATATACTCCCGCACCCTGACCAGAGTAATATCCTAACACACCCCCCCACCCTGAACCAGAGGTAATTACAACACAACACCCGACAGAGGTATATACTAACACAACCCTGACCAGAGTAATATACACCACACGCCCACCCTGACCAAGGTCAATATACTAACACACCCCTGACCAGAGTAATATCCTACACACCCCCCTGACCAGAGGTAATATCTAACCACACCCCCCACCTGACCAGAGGTAATAGCCTAACACACCCCAACCCGGACCAGGGTAATAGACTAAAAACACCCCACCCTGACCAGAGGTAATATACTACCACCCCACCCTGACCATAGTAATAGACTACACACCCCACCCTTACCATAGTAATATACTATAACACACCCCCACCACCCCCTGACCAGAGGTAATATACTAACCACACCCACCCTGACCAGAGGTATATCTAACCACCCCACCTGACCAGAGGTATATACTACACACCCCACCTGACCAGAGTACATACTAACAACCCTGACCAGAGTTAATATACTAAACACACCCTACCCTGACCAGAGGTAATATAGCTAACACACCCCCACCCCGGACCAGAGGTAATATACTAACACACCCCACCCTGACCAGAGGAATGTACTAACACACCCTGACCGTGAGAGGTATATACTAACACACCCACCCTGACCAGATGTAATATACTAAAACAAACCCCACACCCTGACCAAGGTAATATACTAACACACCCCCACCCTGACCCAGGTAATATACTAACACACCACCACCCTGACACATATGTACTATTACCTAAACACACCCCACCCTGACCATAGGTAATATACTAACACACCCTGACCAGAGGGAATATACTACCACCCTGACCAGAGTAATATACTAACAACACCCACCCTGAACCCAGAGTTATACTAACACACCCCACCTGAACCCAGGGTAATAGACTAACACACCCCACCCTTGGGGGGTAAAAAAAACCCCCAGAGGTATATACTACCCACCCTGACCAGAGGTAATATACTAACACAATCCCTGACCAGAGGTAATATACTAAACATATACCCACCCTGACCAGAGGTAATATACTAACACAACCCACCCTGACGCAGAGGAATAACTACACACCCACCCTGACCAGAGTAATATACTAACACACCCCACCCTGACCAGAGGTAATATACTAAACCACCCCAACCCTGACAGAGGTAATATACTACACACCCCACCCGACCAGAGGTAATATACTAAACACCCCTACCAAGTAATATACTAACACAGCCCCACCCTGACCAGAGGTAATATACTAAACACACCCTGACCAGATGTAATATTACTACACACCTGACCAAGTAATATTACTAACACAACCCCCACCCTGACCAGAGGTATATACTAACACACCCCACCCTGATCAGAGGTAATATACTAACACCCCCACCCTGACCATAGGTATATACTAACACACCCCACCCTGACCCGGGTATATATTAACACACCCCCACCCTGACCAAGGTTAATATACTAACAACTAACACAGGCTCCCACCCTGACCAGAGTAATATACTAACACACTAACACAAACCCCAACCCTGAACCAAGGTATATACTAACACACCCTGACGCAGAGGTAATATACTAACACACCCCGTACCAGAGGTATATACTAACACCCCCACCCTGACCAGAGGTAATATACTACACACCACCCCTACCAGAGTACTATACTAACCTAACCCGACCAAGGTAATATACTAACAAACCCCACCCTACCAGAGGTAATATACTAACACACCCCCCACCCTACCAGAGGTAATATACTAACACCCCCTGACCCAGAGGTAATATACTATCACACCCCCACCCTGACCAAGGTAATATACTAACACCCCACACCCTGACCCAGAGGTAATATATACACACACCTGACCAGAGGTAATATACTAACACAACCCCACCCTGACCAGAGGTAATAACTCACAGAACACACCCCACCCCGACCAGAGGTATATACTAACACACCCACCCTGACCAGAGTAATATAACTAACACACTCCCACCCTGACCAGAGGTCATAACTAACAACACCCCACCCTGACCGAGGTAATATACTAACACAACCCCACCCTGACCAGAGGTAATATCCTACCACACCCCCCTGACCAGAGGTAATATACTAACACACACACACACCCCCACCCTGACCAGAGTAATAGAACTAAACAGACCCCTGACCATCGGTAATATACTAACACAACCCACCCTGACCAGAGGGAATATACTAACACACTCCCTGACAGAGGTAAATATACTACACACCCCACCCCTGACCAAAGGTAATATAACAACCCACCCACCCTGACCATAGGTCATCTACTAACACACCCTGACCAGAGGTAATATACTAACACACCCCCCCCTGACCGAGGTAATAAACTAACACATCATCCCTGACCATAGTAATATACAACCACCCACACCCTGACCAGATGTCATATACTACCACACTCCCAACCTGACAGCGGTAATATACACCAAACCCATCCCTGACCAGAGGTAATATACTAACACACCCCCCCTGACCAGAGGTAATAGACTAACACACACAAAGCCCCCACCCTGACCATAGGTAATATACTAACACACACCCCACCCTACCAGAGTAATATACTAACACCCCACCCTGACCAGAGGTTAATATCTACCAAACCCTGACCAGATGTAATATACTAACACACCCACCTGACCAGAGGTAAATATACTAAACACACCCACACCCTGACCAGAGGTAATATCTACACATCTCCTGACAAGTAATATACTAATCACACCACCCCCAACCCTTGACCAATTTATATACTAACAAACACCCACCGACCAAGGTAAATACTACACACCCCACCCGACCTCAGATGTAATCTACTAACACACCCACCCTGACCAAGTAATACTACACACCCACCCTGACCGAGGTAATATACGTAACACCCCCACCCGACCATAGGTACTATACTAACACACCCCACCTGACCAAGGTACTATACGAAACAACAACCCCACCCCTGACCAGAAGTAATATACTAACACACCCTGACCAAGGTAATATATAACACACCCCACCCTGCCGAGGTATATACTCAAACACAAACAAACCTGACCAGAGGTAATATACTAACAACAAGCCCCACCCTTACCAGAGGTTATATACTAACACTACACACCCCACCCCGACCAGAGGTAATTATACTACACCCTGACCAGAGTAATATACTCACACAGCCCTGACCGAGTAAGATACTAACACCCTGACCAGAGTATATACTAACACCCCTGACCAGACAGGTAATTACTAACACATCCTGCCCAAGGTAATATCTAACTACACCCCCCCCTGCCAGAGGGTTAATATACTAACACAGCCCCACCCTGACCAGAGGTAATATACTCACACACCCACCCTGACCAGATGTAATATACTAACACACCCCCACCCTGATCCAGAGGTAACATACTAACACACCCTGAACCAGATGAAATATACTAACCCCCCCACCCTGCCAGAGGTATATACAACACCACACCCTGACCAGAGGTAATATACTAACAAAACCCCACCCTACCAGAGGTAATATACTAACACCCACCCTGACCAGAGGTAATATACTAACACACCCCACCCTGACCAGAGGTAATATACTAACACACCCTGACCAGAGGTAATATACTAACACACCCCACCCTGACCAGAGGTAATATACTAACACACCCCACCCTGACCAGAGTAATACACTACACCCCTGACCAGAGTAATCTACTACCACCCCACCCTGACCGCAGAGTACCTATACTAACACACCTGACCAGAGTTAATAGCTAACACACCCCACCCTGACCAGAGGTAATATACTAACACACCCCACCCTGACCAGAGGTAATATACTAACACACCCACCCTGACCAGAGGTAATATACTAACACACCCCACCCTGACCAGAGGTAATATACTAACACACCCCTGACGAGAGGTAGATACTACACAAACACACCCAACCCCTGACCATCGGTAATATACTAACCACCCCCACCCTGACCAGAGGTAATATCCTACACAACACAACCTGACCAGAGTAATATACTAACACACCACCCCACCCTTACCAGAGGTAAAATACTAACACAAAGCCCCCCTTACCAGAAGTATATCTACAGCCAACCCACCCTTACCAGAGGTAATATACTAACCACCCCACCCTGACAAGGTATATACTAACACAGCCCACCCTGACCAGAGTAAGTATAACGAACACACCACCCTGACCAGAGGTCTAATACTAACACACCCACCTGACATAGGTATATACTACACGACCCCACCCTGACGCATAGTAATATACTAACACACCCCCACCCTGGACCCGAGTAATATACTACACACCCTGACCAGAGGTAATATCCTACACAACCACCCGACCAGAGGGTAATATACTACACACCCCACCCTGACCAGAGGTAATATACTTACACACCCCCCTGACCAGAGGTAATATACTAACACCCCCCCTACCAGAGTTATTACTAACACACCCCGACCAGAGTATAAGATACTAACACACACCCACCCCTGACCAAGGTAATATACTAACACCCCTGACCAGAGGTAATATACTAACACACCCCTACCAGAGTTAATATACTAACCCACCCCCACCCTGACCAGAGGTAAATACGAACACATTACCTGACCAGATGTAAATCTACTAACTAACGCCCCCCCCTGACCAGAGGTAATATACTAACCCCCCCACCCTGACAGAGGTAATATAACTAACACACCCTGACCAGAGGTAAATACTACTAACACCCACCCCTGACCAGAGTTAATATACGAACAGCACCCCACCCTGACCAAGTAAATACTCACACCCCCACCCTGACCAGAGGTAATTACTAACACACACTACACATACCCTGACCAAGTATATACTAACACACCCTGACAGAGTAATCTATCTACACCAGCCCCCACCCGGACCATAGGTAAATATCTAACACATTACCCCCAGCCCGACAGAGTAATATACTAACCACCCTGACCAGAGGTAATATAATAACACAAACTAACACACCCTTCACACCCCTGACCCAGGAGGTAAATATACGAACACACCCACCCTGACCAGATGTCATATACTAACACAACCCTTACCAGAGGTATATCTAACACAACCCCACCCTGAACCGTAGGTAATATACAACCAGACACACCCCACCCTGACGCAGGGTAATATACTAACAACACCCCACACTGACCAGAGGAAATATAATATAACACACACCCACCCTGACCAGAGGTAATATACTAACACACCCCACCCTGCCCCAGAGGTATATACTAACCACTCAAGGCCCCACCCTGCCAGAGGGTAATTAGACACACCCCACCCTGACAGAGGTAATATCTAACACAACCCACCCTGACCAGAGGTAATAACTAACACACCCTAGCCAGAGTAATAGCTAAACACACCCCACCCTGACCAGAGGTACTAATACTAACACACCCCTGACGCAGAGGAATTACTAACCAGCCCCACCCTGCCCAGCGGTAATATACTACAACAAACACCCCCACCCTGACCAAGGTAACTCTAACACACCCTACCAAGGTTATACTCAACCACCCTGACCAAGGTAATATACTAACCACCCCAACTAACACCCCCCACCCCTGACCATAGGTAATATACTACACACCCACCCCTGACCAGAGGTAATATAACTAACACACCCACCCTGACCAGAGTAATATACTAACACACCCTGACCAGAGGTATATACTAACACACCCTGAACCATAAGGTAATATACTACCACAACCCCCTGACCAGATGTAAATATCTAACACACCCACCCTGACCATAGGTAATATACTACACAACAACCCTGACCAGAGTAATCACTAACCACACCCACCTGACCAGAGGTAATATACTACCACCCCCCACCCTGACCAGAGGTCATATACTAACATCAACAACCCCACTGACCATAGGTAAATACAATAACACCCCTGTACCATAGTACTATCTAACCCAACCCCACCCTGACCAAGTAAGATACTAACACAACCCCCACCCTGACCAGAGGTAATTCCTAACACACCCCGACCAGAGGTAATATACTAACACACCCACACTGACAGAGGTAATATAACTAACACACCCCACCCCTGACCAGAGTAATATACTACACATGAACCCCACCCTGACCAGAGGTAATATACTAACGCACCCCACCCTGACCATCGGTAATAATACTAACACACCCTACCCACCCGACCGAGGTAAGATATAACACACAACCCCACCCTGACAAGTAATTACAACACCCCTGTACCATAGTAATATACTAACCACCCACCCTACCAGAGGTAATATACTAACACACCCTGACCAGAGGTAATATCCTACACCCCCACCCTGAACCAGCGTACATCCTAACCACAACCCACCCCTGACCAGAGGTAATATACTAACACACCCCACCCTGACCAGAGGTAATATACTAACACACCCCACCCTGACCAGAGGTAATATACTAACACACCCCACCCTGACCAGAGGTAATATACTAACACACCCTGACCAGAGGTCGTAACTAAACACCTGACCAGAGGTAATATACTACCACCCCACACCCTGACCAGAGGTAATATACTACACACCCCACCCTGACAGAGTTAAATACTAACACCACCCCCCCTGACAGAGGTAATATACACACACCTGACAGAGGTATATACTAACACACACCCCCGACAGAGGTAATATACTAACACACCCCCACCCTGACCAGAGTAATATCCTAACCATCCCCCCCTGACCGAAGGTAAGATCTAACACACCCCACCCTGACCAAGGTAATATACTTACACACCCTGACCAGAAGGTAATATACAACACATCCCTGACCAGAGTAATATACTTACACACCCTGACCAGAGGTATATCTAACACACCCCCCCGGACCAAGTATATACTAGACTAACACAACCCTTACCAGATGTATATAAACTAACACACCCAACCTGACCAAGGTATATACTACTACCACACCCCCACCTGACCAGAAGGGAATATACTAACACACCCCACCCTGACCAAGGTAATATACTAACACACCTGACCAGAGGTAATATCTAACACAACCCCACCCTGACCAGAGGTAATATACTACACACCCCACACCCTGACCAGAGGTAAATATACTAACACAAAACCCTTACCAGAGGGATATCTAACAGCACCACCCTGACCATAGGTAATAATCTAACACACCCACCCTGACCAGAGTTAATATACTACCACACCCCACCCTGACCAGAGTAATATACTAACGCACTCCAACCCTGACCATAGGTAATCTACTACCCAACCCCACCCTGACCAGAGGTATATACTAACACACCCCACCTGACCATAGGTAATATACAACACAACCCTGACCCAGAGGTATATACTACACACCCCCCCCTGACCATTAGGTTATACTAACACAACCCGGAACCAGAGGTAAATATCCTAACACACCCACCCTGACCCGAGGTAATATACTAACACAACCCCAACCCTGACCAGAGTAATAATACTAACACCACCCCACCCTGACCAGAGGTCATATACTCCCACCCCAACCCCTGACAGAGGTAATATACTAACACACACCCCCCCTGACCAAGGTAATATACTAACCACCCTGACCGAGGTAATATACTACACACCCGGACCAGAGGTAAAATATATACTAACACACCCCTACACCCTACCAGAGTAATATACCTAACAACCCCACCCTGAAACCAGAGGTTAATTACTAACACACCCCACAGCCCTGACCAGAGGTAATATTCTACCCCCACCCTGCTCAAAGGTATTACTAACACCCCCCACCATTTAAGGGTGTTTACTTTCCGTTATCAAATAAATGTAATGGAAATACAAAGACACAAATGTGTGAATCGTTTTTTGAATTGTTTGCTTCGTAGGTAACCTTCATGTTGTGGTGGCGTTCAAGGTCCAGTCCCCAGTCCAGAGCTTCAGTGTGGCCGCTTCAGGTGTCGGAGAGGATCATCGTCAGGGTAACCTCTGCAAGTCTGACCGTGTCTGTCTTTCGGTCGTCCCCTCCTCTGATCTATCTCAGTTTTTACCTAGGCAGGAAATAAACTCACATTCACATTTAATTTACATCATTTAGCAGAACGCTCCTTATCCGAGCGACTTACAAATTTGAAGTCGGTTGTGCTCCATGATTCCAAAATTGGAACTTTTGGTTTCCTTACTGATTGAAATGGAAATGAGCCCACTCTGAGACCCATCTTTCTGCATCTGTTATGGTCTAGATTCTTGTTCTGTAAATATAATAATCAATCATGTTTTTCTTTAGATCTGTTGATGCTCTTAAACGAATCTCCCTTCAGATCATCTACCAGGTTTAGGAAGGCTACTCAGTGTAGCACGCGCACTGCAACGGAAAGAGGAGTCCAGGACGATCTCGAATCATAAGTTTTTCCTCAGTCAATATCTCTGTTTTTGTCTGTCCCTCCCTCTCTGGGTTTCAAGCGCTCAACCCAGGTCAGTTTTGAGAGTGACAGTGAGGTTCTGTGCATCGCGGCCCAGCTGGCTGACTCAGTCATCCACACCACGTCCGGGTCGGCATCAAACCGACCGGCCAGCGAGCCATTGTCATCCACGGCAACCTAAGGGTCATGGGGCCTGTGTGCCCCTTTCGGACATAACGGGCTAAAGAGAACGTCACGAGGTGGAGGGGGGGGGGGTTTTCTGTCTGTCTGTCTGTCTGCATGTGTTTTGTGCAGTTACGCAAATGCATGCTCGAGCTGACTCTCTTCATCAAAATATCCTCCCTGGATAATTGTTTTTTATTTGTGCTAGCCAATATTACAATAATTCACCGACAGTTATATCCTGTTTTCTTGTTTCCATTGTCCTGAAACCATACAGCCATCTAACTGTAGCTATATGTTTCTGTATGTTTCTATATGTTTCTATATGTTTTCTGCAGGTTCTATATGTTCTTATGTTCTATATGTTCTGTATGTTCTATAATTTTTTCTGTTGTTCTTGTAGGTCTATATGTTCTGTATGTTCTATACGTTCTGTATTTTTCTCTAGTTTCTGTAGGTTCTGTAGGTTCTATATGTTCTGTATGTTTCTATATTTTTCTATTGTCTGCATGTTCTTATGGTTCTATAGGTCTGCCTGTTCGATATGTTCGTATGTTCTTATGTTCTATAGTTCATATACGTTCTGTAGGTTCTATATGTCTTGTATGTTCTGTAGTTCTTACTTTCTGTATGTTCTTATGTCTATAGGTTCTGCATGTTCTATCTGTTTTCTGTATGTTCTATTGTTCTATAACGTTTTATATGTGTTCTGTAGTTCTATAGGTTCTGTATTCTATATGTTCTATAAGTTTTTCTGTATGTTCTTATAATGTTTCTATATGTTCTGTATGGTCTATACGTTCTGATGTTCTATATGGTTCTATATTCTGTATTCTGTAGTTTCTATCTTAATGTTCTGTATGTTTCTATATGTTTCTATAATGCTGTAGGTTTTCTATATGTTCTATATGTTCTGTATGTTCTATACGTTCTTGTATGTTCTATATGTTCTATATGCGACCAGAGTATATTACCCTGACAGGTATACTAACACCACACCCTGACCAGAGGTATATACTAACACAACGCCACGCCCTGACCAATTTAATATACTAACACCCCACCGACCAGAGGTATATACTAACACACCCTGACCAGAGGTAATATACTAACACACCCTGACCAGAGGTAATATACTAACACACCCCACCCTGACCAGAGGTAATATACTAACACACCCCACCCTGACCAGAGGTAATATACTAACACACCCCACCCTGACCAGAGGTAATATACTAACACACCCCACCCTGACCAGAGGTAATATACTAACACACCCACCCTGACCAAGGTAATAATAACTACACACCACCCCTGACCAGGTATATACTAACCCCCCACCTGACAAGGTAATTTTTACTAACCCCACCCTGACCAGGGGTAATATACTAAACACCCTGACCAGAGGTAATTACTAACCCCCGGGTAAATACTACACCCAACCCTGACCAGAGGTAATATACTAACCCCCCACCGAGAGGTAATTTAAAACAACACCACCCCACCCTGACCAGAGGTATATACTAACACACCCCCACCCTGACCAGAGTATATACTAACACAACCCTGACCAGAGTAATATACTAACACACCCCACCCTGACCAGAGGTATATACTAACACACCCTGACAGATAATATTACTAACACACCCAACCTGACCAGAGGTAATATACTAACACACCCTGACCAGAGGTAATATACTAACGCACCCCACCCTGACCAGGGGTATATACTAACCACCCACCCTGACCAGGGGTAATATACTAAACACCCACCCTGACCAGAGGTAATACTAAAACACCCCACCCTGACCAGAGGTAATATACTAACCACCCTGACCAGAGGTAATATACTAACACACCCCAACCCTGACCAGAGGTAATATACTAACACACCCCACCCTGACCAGAGGTAATATACTAACACACCCCACCCTGACCAGAGGTAATATACTAACACACCCTGACCAGAGGTAATATACTAACACACCCCACCCTGACCAGAGGTAATATACTAACACACCCCACCCTGACCAGAGGTAATATACTAACACACCCTGACCAGAGGTAATATACTAACACACCCCACCCTGACCAGAGGTAATATACTAACACACCCTGACCAGAGGTAATATACTAACACACCCCACCCTGACCAGAGGTAATATACTACACACCACCCTGACCAGAGGTAATTCTAACACCACCCTGACCAGAGTAATATACTAACACACACCCTGACCAGAGGTAATATACAAACACAACCCTGACCAGAGGTAATTACTAACACCCATGACCTAATACACCCCCTGAACAGAGGTAATAACTACTACAACCCACCCTGACCAGAGGTAATATCTAACACCCCCCACCCTGACCAGAGGTATATACTAACACACCCCCGACAAGTAATATACTAACCACACATCCACCCTGATCCAGGTAATATACTAACACACCCCACCATTTAAAGGGTGTTTACTTTCCGTTATCAAATACATTTAATGGAAATACAAAGACACAAATGTGTGAATCGTTTTGAATTGTTTTGCTTCGTAGGTACTTCATGTTGGTGGTAGCGCTTCAGTCCATGCCAAAAAGTCAGAGGCTTCACAGTGTCCGCCGCAGTGTCGAAAAGGATCACTGTCAGGGTAACCTCTGTCAGTCTGACCGTGTCTGTCTGTCTGTCCGTCCTCCTCTGATCTATCTCAGTATTTACCTAGCAGGAAATAAACTGACATTTACAATGTTTACATCATTTAGCAGACGCTCTTATCCAGAGCGACTTACAAATTGAAGTCGGGTTGTGCTCATGATTCCAAAATTGGAACTTTTGGTTTCCTTACTGAATTGAAATGGAATTGAGCCCAACTCTGATACCCATCTTTCTGCATCTGTTATGGTCTAGATTCTTTGTTCTGTAAATATAATAATAAATCATGTTTTCTTTAGATCTGTGTTGAGGCTCTTACGAATTCCCTGCAGATCATCTAAACATGTTTAGGAAGCTACTCAGTGTAGAACTAGCACTGCAAACGGAAGAGGAGTCCAGGACTGATTACATACGTAACTCTAATCATATTTTCTCAGTCTAAATATCTCTGTTTTGTCTGTCCCTCCCTCTCTGGGTTTCAGGCGTCTAACCCAGGTCAGTTTGAGAGTGACAGTGAGGTGCTGTGGCAGCGCGGCCAGCTGGCTGACTCAGTCTACCACCACGGCCGGGTCGGCATCAACACCGACCGGCCAGACGAGGCCATGGTCATCCACGGCAACCTGAAGGTCATGGGGTCACTGGTGCACCCTTCGGACATACGGGCTAAAGAGAACGTCCACGAGGTGAGGGGGGGGGGTGTTCTGTCTGTCTGTCTGTCTGCATGTGTTTGTGCAGTTACGAAAATGCATGCTCGATCTTCATCAAAATATTCCCTGAGATAATTGTTTTTTATTTGTGCAAACCATATTAAAATAATTCACCAATGTTTATCCTGTTTTTTGTTCCATGCCCTGAAACCATACAGCCATCAAAACGTAGCTATTATGTTCTGATTTTTCTATATTTTCTATATGCTGCAGTTTATTGTTCTGTATGTTCCCTATATGTTCTGTATGTTTTCTATAATTCTTTTGGCTTGTATTTATATGTCTGTATGTTCTATAGTTCTGTATTTTCTTATGTTCTGTTTCTGTAGGTTCTATATGTTCTGTATGTTTCTATATTTTTAATTTTTCTGCATTTCTTAGTCTTAGTCTGCACGTGATAGTCTGTTTATCTTACTCTAATTTTTTCTCAGTCTAATTCTGTTTTTGTCTGTTCTTCCTCTTGGTTTCAGGCTGCTAACCAGGTTCGTTTGAGTATAGGTCTGTGGCATCGGCCTGGCTATTCATTTTTCTAACCTCCTGGGTCGGCTACAAACGGTTCAGATGAGGCTATGGTTCAGCTTGAGTTCTGGTCACGGGTTCATTTCGATGGTCTAATGGAACGTTCTGAGGTTTATAGGGGTGGGTGTTTTTGTTCTGTTTTCTATTGTCTCTATGTGTTATGTTTATAAAATGCATGTTTTTATATGTTCCATATGTTTCTTTTGTTTGTACGTATGTCATGTTCAATATTTCCTATATGTTTATCCTGTTTTTCTGTTCTTGTCTGACTATGCTCAAATTGTTCTATAAGTTCTGTATGTTCTATATGTCTGTATGTTTTATTGTTTGTATTTTTCTTATGTTCTATATGTTTGTATGTTCTATATGTTCTGTATGTTCTATATGTTCTAGTATGTTCTTTTGTTCTATATTCTATATTTCTATAGTTCTATATGTTTTTATTGTTCATATGTTTGATGTTCTGATATGTCTTTCTATTGTTCTGTTGTTCTATATGTTCTTGTGTTCTTATGTTTCTGTATGTTTATATGTTTCTATATGTTCTATTTCTGTATGTTCTATAAGTCTGTATGTTTTATGTTCTATATGTTTGTATGTTCTAAAATTTTCTGTATGTTCTATGTTGTATTTCTATATGTTCTTTTTCTATGTTTATATGTTCTGTATGTTCTATAATTTCTGTTGTTCTATATGTTCTATTTTATAAGTTCTATTCTCTTGTCTGGTCGTGTTGTTGTGTGTGTGGGTGTTGTGTGTGTGTGTGGTGTGTGGTGTGTGTGTGTGTGTGTGTTGTGTGTGTGTTTGTGTGTGTGTGTGTGTGTGTGTGTGGTTGTTGTGTTTGTTTCAGGTACACTGACCAACTGAAGCGGATCAGTCAGATGGGGCTGGTTCATTATCAGTACAAGCCAGAGTTTGCTTCCAGCATGGGCATACCCAGCCCAGAGACTGGTAACATAACAACACCTTGTTTTAGGTTATACATTATGACAACCAATAGACAACCAATAGCACCAAACAACCAATGCAATCAATATCAACCCAAATTAGACTCTAGAAATCAATTGTATTCCCAACCACTACCTTGTACATACATGCTCTTCACCACAATTCTGTCATATCTGTAACAGCTGCTGTTACTGACACCCTTTAACCCATTTCTAATTTACCAAGAGCTACAGACTAGTTTAAAATTTAGGAAAAAGGGATTAAACAGTAACTGTGCTTGATTTATAGAGTAAATAAGGGCTTCAGTACTGGGTGGTTATCTAGGGGTGGATTCTACAGTACTGGGTTGTTAACTAGGAGTGATAGGAGCTTACAGTACTGTTGTTTTATCTAGGAGTGATAGGATCTACATACTAACGTGTTGATCTTAAAAGGATGGGTGGGGGGCAGCGAATCTGCCTGAAGCCGTGAAGGAGGGTTCAGGAACGTATCTGTTGGATAGAAGCCTGGAAGCCTTAAAACTACTGGTGGTTAACAGGTAACAGCTCTACGAGCAAGAAAGCAGCATAGGGGGAGCATTGGGGCCTTCACTAACTGCTGGTATAGGTCCGAGGGAGACATCACACAGTGCAACCAGGAAGCCTCCCTAAACTACTGGTGCACAAGGAACATCCCAACCAGGAAGACCATCCCAATCGGTGTCCAACAGGCAACTCAATTTAGGAAGACCATCCAAACATCTGTTCACTCTTGGGGACAAGGCTACGGCCACTAACGCGTTTGGTGTTTGCATTATCTTAGAACTGGAATACCCAAAACTGAGTATTTCTGATACACTCCAGCAACCCTGAAAGGGTTTGCAACAGACCATGCTTCTGTTCCTTCTCCCCCTCCCCTCTCCTTGTCCTAGGAGTGTCGTCCTGCCCCACGGCCATCCCTCCTCCTCCCTTGGCTCTCATCTCCCCCTCTCCTACCATCGCTTCCACCATTCTCGTCTTCTGCTACATCCCTCTCTACCTCGTTCCCACTCTCACTGTCTCCGACTACTCCTTTCTTCTCATCTGTCTCGGCCCTCCCCCTTTTCACACCGTATGGACCTTACACTTTTTATCCGCAGAACTACCGCCTGTCTTCTCCCGGATCTACTCTATGGCTCTTATCTAGATACGGGCTACAGTACTGGGTTTTTCTCTGTGATGTCTTACAGTACTGGTTTTTCTGTAAGATCTACCATATGTGTGCTACAGAGGCCTAGCTCAATCGGTTTATGAGGACTCAGAGGACACCGTAAGCCTAAGGGAGAGGACGTCAAAAGACACCCAAATACCTGGGGTAACAAGGTAACTCACAACAAGACAGGAAACCTAATCTGCAACCAGGCCACCACCACCCCGACCTCTCCTCATACGTGTCACAGGTGACACAGACAAACTCATGAGAACTTGGTGGTAAGAGTAAAAACTGACTGACACCTGGAGGACTCGTATAGATGAGTTAGAGCGCTGGAGCAGGAAGCTGGCCAAACTCCGTCGTCTGGACAGCATGAAGAGTACTGTCAGCGGAGGCACCATCAGGTGAGGCACACATTATATGTCAAATACTTTGTAAGAGGAGCACTTGATTTCGTTTGGAGTTGCAGTTAGAACTATTGGTACTATTCCATTGGTAATCAAGCGCTGGTCCAGTATTTTAAATGATTTAACATACTGAATGTATTTGGTGGATGATTAAATGTTTTCTTCCTGTCTCTGTCTCCAGCCAATCAGGAAGCCAGTTCAGCAGGACAGGAAGTGGTCCCCTGAAGAAGAAGACAGTCAAACCTGGGAGCAAGGTAGATGTTTCCTTACACCAGCACAACTCTCTCTCTCTCTCTCTCTCTCTCACTCTCTCACTCACACAAAACCAGCTCTAAATGTCTAACCTGGGTGTGGATGTCATTGCAGAGTCCAACTCCAGAGCAGGGCTGCATCAGCCACAGGTTCATGCAGGGAACCATTCTGGCTCTAGTCATCGTCATGGCCTTCAGCGTCATCTCCATGTCCGTACTCTACGTGTTGACACTGCGCCACAGAGGGGACGTCATCGAGAAAGACGGGTACGTATGACCACATCCAGATACAGCGCATTCGCAAACCAATAACAGGCTTCAAGAAATGTTTGCAAATGTATTAAAAATAAACAATTGAAATATCACATTTACATAAGTATTCAGACCCTTTACTCAGTACTTTGTTGAAGCACCTTTGGCAGCAATTACAGCCTTGTGTCTTCCTGGGTATGATGCTACAAGCTTGGCACACCTGTATTTGGGGAGTTTCTCCCATTCTTCTCTGCAGATCCTCTCAAGCACTTTCAGGTTGGATGGGGAGCGTCGCTGCACAGCTATTTTCAGGTCTCTCCAGAGATGTTCGATCGGGTTCAAGTCCGAGCTCTGGCTGGGCCACTCAAGGACATTCAGAGACTTGTCCTGAAGCCACTCCTGCGTTGTCTTGGCTTTGTGCTTAGGGTCGTTATCTGTTGGATGGTGAACCTTCACCCCAGTCTGAGGTCCTGAGTGCTCTGGAGCAGGTTTTCATCAAGGATCTCTCTGTACTTTGCTCTGTTCATCTTTCCCTTGATCAAATCAAATTATATTTGCCAAATGCGCCGAATACAACAGGTGTAGACCTTACAGTGAAATGCTTACAGCCCTTAACCAACAATGTAGTTTTAAGAAAAATAAGTGTTAGGTAAAAAATAGATAAGTAAAAAATTTAAATAACAAATAATTAAAGAGCAGCAGTAAAATAAAATAACAGTAGGGAGGTTATATACAGGGGGTACCGGTACAGAGTCAATGTGCGGGGGCGCCGGCTAGTTGAGGTAGTTGAGATAATATGTACATGTGGGTAGAGTTAAAGTGACTATGCATAGATAATAAACAGAGTAACAGCAGCGTAAAAGAGGGGTGGGGGGGGGGGGGGGGGGGGAACAATGCAAATAGTCCGGGTAGCCATTTGATTAGATGTTCAGGATTCTTATGGCTTTTCCACTACAGCCCCGTCCATGAGAATGAGGGCGTACTCAGTCCACTTTTTCTTATAATAATAATAATAATATGCCATTTAGCAGACGCTTTTATCCAAAGCGACTTACAGCGATCGAACCCACTACCTTGGCGTTACAAGCGCCGTGCTCTACCAGCTGAGCTACAGAGAACCTTCTTCCTGTAGTCCACAATCATCTCCTTTGTCTTGGTCACGTTGAGGGAGAGGTTGTTATCCTGGCACCACACGGCCAGATCTCTGACCTCCTCCCTATAGGCTGTCTCATCATTGTCGGTGATCAGGCCTACCACTCTTGTGTCGTCGGAAAACTTAATGATGGTGTTGGAGTCGTGCCTGGCCATGCAGTCATGGGTGAACAGGGAGTACAGGAGGGGACTGAGCACGCACCCCTGAGGGGCCCCCGTGTTGAGGATCAGTGTGGCAGATGTGTTGTTACCTACCCTTACCACCTGGGGGCAGCCCGTCAGGAAGTCCAGGATCCAGTTGCAGAGGGAGGTGTTTATTCCCAGGGTCCTTAGCTTAGTGATGAGCTTTGAGGGCACTATGGTGTTGAACGCTGAGCTGTAGACAATGAATAGCATTCTCACGTAGGTGTTCCTCTTGTCCAGGTGGGAAAGGGCAGTATGGAGTACAATAGAGATTGCATCATCTGTGGATCTGTTGGGGTGGTATGCAAATTGGAGTGGGTCTAGGGTTTCTGGGATAATGGTGTTGATGTGAGCCATGACCAGCCTTTCAAAGCACTTCATAGCTACAGACGTGAGTGCTACGGGTCGGTAGTCATTTAGGCAGGTTATCTTAGTGTTCTTGGGCACAGGGACTATGGTGGTCTGCTTGAAACATGTTGGTATTACAGACTCATTCAGGGACATGTTGAAAATGTCAGTGAAGACACTTGCCAGTTGGTCCGCACATGCTCGGAGTACGCGTCCTGATAATCCGTCTGGCCCTGCGGCCTTGTGAATGTTGGCGTGTTTAAAGGTCTTACTCACATCGGCTACGGAGAGAGTGATCACACAGTCATCCGGAACAGCTGGTGCTCTCATGCATGCTTCAGTGTTGCTTGCCTCGAAGCGAGCATAGAAGTGATTTAGCTCATCTGGTAGGCTTGTGTCTCTGGGTAGCTCGCGGCTGTGCTTCCCTTTGTAGTCTGTAATAGTTTTCAAGCCCTGCCACATCCGACTAGCGTCGGAGCCGGTGTAGTACAATTCAATCTTAGTCCTGTATTGACTCTTTGCCTGTTTGATGGTTCGTTGGAGGGCATAGCGGGATTTCTTACAAGCGTCCGGGTTAGAGTCCCACTCCTTGAAAGCGGCAGCTCTACCCTTTAGCTCAGTGCAGATGTTGCATGTAAGCCATGGCTTCAGGTTGGGGTATGTACGTACGGTCACTGTGGGGACGGCGTCATCGATGCATTTATTGATGAAGCCAGTGACTGAAGTGGTGTACTCCTCAATGCCATCGGTAGAATCCCGGAACATATTATCATGAGATACTCTACCTCAGGCGAGCAAAACCTAGAGACTTCCTTAATATTAGATTTCGTGCACCAGCTGTTGTTTACAAATATACACAGACCGCCACCCCTCGTCTTACCGGAGTCAGCCGTTCTATCCTGCCGATGTAGCGTATAGCCCACTAGCTGTATGTTATTCATGTCGTCGTTCAGCCACGACTCGGTGAAACATAAGATATTAACGTTTTTAATGTCTTGTTGGTAGGATAACCTTAATCTTAGGTCGTCCATTTTGTTTTCCAATGATTGTACGTTGGCTAATAGGATTGATGGAAGAGGCAGATTACTCGATCGTCGTCTGATCCTTACAAGGCACCCCGACCTACGTCCACGATATCTCTGTCTCTTTCTCATGCGAATGACGGGGATTTGGGCCTTGTCGGGTGTCTGTAGAATATCCTTCACGTCCGACTCACTGAAGAAAAACTCTTCGTCCAATACGAGGTGAGTAATCGCTGTCCTGATATCCAGAAGCTCTTTTTGGTCATAAGAGACGTACGTTATGTACAGAATAAATTATAAATAACGTGAATAAACACATGTAATAGCACAATTGGTTAGTTTTTTTTATTTTATTTTTATATAATTGGTTACAGGCTGTATAACGGCAGCCATCTTGCCTCGATCCTGACTAGTCTCCCTGTCCCTGCCACTGAAAAACATCCCCAAAGCATGACGCTGCCACCACCATGCTTCACCGTAGGGATGGTACCAGGTTTCCTCCAGACGTGACACTTGGCATTCAGGCCAAAGATTTTCATCAGACCAGAGAATCTTGTTTCTCATGGTCTGAGAGTCCTTCAGGTGCCTTTTGGCAAACCAAGAGGGCTGTCATGTGCCTTTTACTAAGGAGTGGCTTCCGTCTGGCCACTCTACCATAAAGGCCTGATTGGTGGAGTGCTGCAGAGATGGTTGTCCTTCTGGAAGGTTCTCCCATCTTCACAGAGGAACTCTAGAGCTTTGTCAGAGTGACCATCGGGTTCTTGGTCACCTCCCTGACCAAGGCCATTCTCCCCCGATTGCTCAGTTTGGCCGGGCGGCCAGCTATAGGAAGAGTCTTGGTGGTTCCAAACTTCTTCCATTTAAGAATGATGGAGGCCACTGTGTTCTTGGGGACCTTCAATGCTGCAGAAATTTTTTGGTACCTTTCCCAGATCTGTGCCTCGACACAATCCTGTCTCGGAGCTCTTCAGACAATTCCTTCGACCTCATAGCTTGGTTTTTGCTCTGACATGCATTGTCAACTGTGGGACCTTACAAATCTTGTCCAATCAATTTAATTTACCACAGGTGGACTCCAATCAAGTTGTAGAAACATCTCAAGGATGATCAATGGAAACAGGATGCACCTGAACTCAATTTCGAGTCTCATAGCAATACTTATGTAAATAAGGTATTTCTGTTTTTTATTTTTAATACATTTGCAAAAATGTCTAAAAAACAGTTTTCGCTTTGACATTGTGGGGAATTGTGTGTAGATTGATGAGGGAAAAAAATAATTTAATCAGTTTCAGAATAACGTTGTGATGTAACAAAATGTGGAATAAGGGGTCTGAATACACTCCGGATGCACTGTACATCAAACATATACCTGTACACTAGTCCCTGAACATGAATGACATATATACCATGTACACTAGGCCCTGAAACATGATGACATAGATACCTGTACCACTAGCCCTGAAACATGATGACATATATACCTGTTACACTAGCCCTGAAACATGATGACATATATACCTTGTACACTAGCCCTGAAACATGATGACATAATCTACCTGTACACCAGCCCTGAACATGGATGACATTATACCTGTACACTAGCCCTGGAAAAAATGATGGAACATATATACCATGTTACACTAGCCCCTGAAACATGATGGACATATATATACCTGGCCTACACTAGCCCCTGAAACATGATGAAATATATACCTGGTACACTAGCCCTGAAAACATGTATGGACATATATACCTTGGACACTAGCCCTGGAAACATGATGACATCTATACCTGTCACTAGCCCTGAAACTGATGACATATATTACCTGTACACTCGCCCTGAAAAAAATAAACGACCATCTAATACCCTGTACACTAGACCCTGTGAAACCATGATTGACATATATACCTTGTACACTGCCCTGGAAAAACATGATGACATATATACCATGTACACTAGCCCTTGAAACAGAAACGACATATATACCTGTACACTAGCCCTGAAACATGATGAACATATATACCTGTACACTAGCCCTGAAAACATGACGACATATATACCTGTACACTAGCCCCCCTGGAAACGATGATGAACATATAGTACCTGTACATGCCCGAAAAAAAAAAGACAAATCCCTTACAAGCCCTGAAACATGAGACATAAACTGAACTCCCCTGAAAATGATGAATTATACCGTACAAGCCCTAAACAAAAGAATAATACCTGTAACTAGCCCTGAAACATGATGACATATTACCTTAACTAGCCCTAAAAAACATAGACTTAATATTACCCCAGGTTTTAAACAACATGAAACATAAAAAACCGTAACTACCTGAAACATGATGACATATTACCGTCACTAGCCCAAACATGAGACAATATACCTGTCCCACTAGCCCTGAAAACATGGACATATATACCTGTAACTAGCCCTGAAACAGATGAAATTAATACTTAAAGCCCTAACATATACATATACTGTCATAGCCTGAAAATGAACATACATCCAAAAAATTTCACTTCTGCAATATACCTTCTTTACCTAATAACACTCCTCCCTACCTTTTTCGCTTATACTGTCTTGTAAAATTGTCTTCATTAGCATCTAAGCTTGTGCAAACTTCTACTACAGTTTTGTCCATTACCACCACCGGTCATTTTCCTTGTTGGTATTTCTTGTTTCTATATATGTTCTCTTTCTTTGAAGAGAATAAGAAAAAAAAGCGGAGAAAGAGGGAAGGGAAAGGGGAAAAGGAAGGAGGTTTTCAAAAAAAAAAAACCCCCAAAAAAAAAAATCATATATATTTTATTTTTATTTATATTTTTATTTCTGTTATTTTATTATTCTATATTTTTTTTATATTTGATTGTTTTTTTCTTGTATTCTATTTTTATTATATGTATTTTTCTTTTTTTCTTGATATCTTCTATATTCTATTTTTTTTGTTTTCTGTATTTCTTTTTTTTTTCTTGTTTTGTTATTTCTTCTTATTTTCTTAAAATTTATCTTTCTTTTCTCTCTTCTTATTTTCTTATTTCTATGTATCTTCTTCTTATCTCTTCTTTTCTCTATCTCTCTCTTCTCTTCTCTTCTTTCTCTCTCTTCTATATCTCCTCTCTTTATGTGTTCTGTCTCTTTATTTGTATCTCTCTTCTCTTATCTCTCTCTCTCGGTTTCTGTCTCTCTCTCTGTCTCTCTCTCTCTCTCTGTCTCTCTCTCTCTTCCCTCACTCTTTTCTTCCTCTCTTTTATTTTTTCGTTCCCTACTCTCCTCTCTCTCTCTCCGATATCCTCTATCCTCTCTCCTCTCTCTCTCTCTCTAATTCTCTCTTATCTTTGATTGATACTGTACTTTAAGTTGGTAATTAGGGTGTTTCCCACTCTGTGTCTCAAGAGGTCATGACTAATTTCTACTGTTGACTTGCTTGCCAGTCCAGTCTGGGACATTACATGAAGTAGGTATATACAGGCAAATGTATTCTGAAAGAATAGGGTTAAAGGTACAAACCCCTTTCAACACAGCACCAACACCAGAACACTGAATCCACTAGTCTCATATTCAAAACTCTGTATGATTAGTTTAGAATTAGTACAACTTTATTGTCCACACATAGTGTAAACGGGGCGGCAGGTAGCTTAGAGGTTAAGAGCGTTGTGCCAGTAACCGAAAGGTCACTGGTTCTAATCCCCGAGCCGACTAGGTGAAAATCTGTCGATGTGCCCTTGAGCAAGGCACTTAACCCTAATTGCTCCTGTAAGTCGCTCTGGATAAGAGCGTCTGCTAAATGACTAAAAATGTCCATAAAAAATGTCTATTCACCACTTTAAAACAGCCATTAAACACAACCATGAGCACATCATTTCTGGAGACCATTAAATAAACTATACAAAGTCCAAAAGTGCTTCAGCACCAGTGCAGTTCAAAGTTCATATATATTGCATCATTGGTCTAAAACCATAGTTATCATCGTCATCAAGAGTTCCTCATTGAAAATACACCAATGGTCAAAGTCCTCACATTACTATTCTATTACATGTGATGATTGTGCAATTATCTACGCACCTGACCCCACCTGATGCCATCCGCTATAAATTCTATTCCATCTCTCTCCTCTCTCTGTACTGTACGCTTTCATACCCCTCAGGTCCAGGTCTGCAGTGGAATCATCTAGAAGGGTGGCCTCCGCTCCTCGATCCACCACCTCAACACTTCAAGGTCAAAGACACACACTGAGACATATGAATCCCTCTTTGGAATGTTAGAGGGGACAGTCAATGTATTTAGTGGCAGAAAAAGAGTAGCTATCTCTTAGGGCCTATTTACAATTGTTAAGTCATTCGACTGACTAAAGATGGGCATCGTGTCTTTGTAACAGACTTTAAAGATCTAAACGCGGAGTATAGAGTATTGTTTTGGGGTTCTCATAAAGACAATAGAAGCCAAACTGATCCTAATGTCTATACGTTATGAACCTACCTATTCTGTGCAGATACAGTCCCACCCTCTCCTTCACTGGCCAATCCTGCAGCTTGCTGTCCACCTGCCACAAACAACCAGTCAGCAACTGCTCTGTCGCCAAGCAACAACCAGTCTACATTGGGTAAGAAAACATTGACCCATCTGTCTTACCATATCAGATTAAATGCTTCACCATACCTTCACTTCATAACACATTCATAACCAGTGAGTAAGTGTTTCATAAATGCTTAAGTGACGTTACTGTGACACAGCAAATATATCAACTTGGGTTTGTTGCTATAAGCATTAATGGTACCTGTCTCCATCCGCTCTGCTGTAGAGCTGAGTAGTCCGGTCCCAACGCTGGGCGGTATCAACAAGAAGGCCAGGTCCAGGCCTATGGACAAGGACGGACGCTATCGGAACCGTCTCAGTCACACCTCCGCCCCCATGTACCTGTCCAAGGCTAAGAGACCCGCCCCCGGGGGGGACCTGGGGGGCGTAGGAGGGGCCACCAACCGGCTGCCTGGAGGCCAGCAGACACTGCCCCTGCCTCGGAGACAACGCAGGGACAACACACACAGCAGCAGCACAGAGGAAGCAGGACCAAGATCTTCTCCCTCCCTTATAGATCTGCACATCCTGGAGACAGACCAACAGATGTCATCACACAACTGTCCACATCCCGACAGCTGCAGGTGGGTCTGCCTGTGTGGTTCTCCTAAGACTGTATGGGTAAAGTGTAATGTATGTAGTTAAACTGTAATTCAAAACGTCTGTGGAATACATTACATTTTGTCGAATACATGACATTTTGTCGACTACATTACATTTTGTCGAATACATGACATTTTGTCGAATACATGACATTTTGTTTAATACATGACATTTTGTCGAATACATAACATTTTGTCGAATACATGACATTTTGTCGAATACATTACATTTTGTCGAATACAAGACATTTTGTCGAATACATGACATTTTGTCGAATACATTACATTTTGTCGAATACATGACATTTTGTCGAATACATGACATTTTGACGAATACATGACATTTTGTCAAATACATGACATTTTGTCGAATACATAATAATAATAATAATAATATGCCATTTAGCAGACGCTTTTATTCAAAGCGACTTACAGTCGTGCGTGCATACATTTTTGTGTATGGGTGGTCCCGGGGATCGAACCCACTACCTTGGCGTTACAAGCGCCGTGCTCTACCAGCTGAGCTACAGAGGACCACATTACATTTTGTCGAATACATTACATTTTGTCAAATACATGACATTTTGTCGAATACATGACATTTTGTCGAATACATTACATTTTGTCGAATACATTACATTTTGTCGAATACACAACATTTTGTCGAATACATTACATTTTGTCGAATACACGACATTTTGTCGAATACATGACGTTTTGTCGAATACATTACATTTTGTCGAATACATTACATTTTGTCGAATACATGACATTTTGTCGAATACATTACATTTTGTCGAATACATTACACTTTGTGGAATAAATGACATCAAGATCCCATTTGACGTAGAGTTTGTGATGATTTTGGTGTTTTGTCTACAGCTATTCCGTGTCACTCCAAGGAACCAGGAACTCCTCCACGTCCCGAATCACTCTACACATGACGTGAGCACACACAGCCTGCTCCACACACTCACCTCAACCAACACAAGCACATGTTCACTGCACACACACACACACACACACACACACACACACACACACACACACACACACACACACACACACACACTAAATTATACAAAACCGTAGACCAAATCAGCTCTGGTCATGCACAAGGGAACAGGAAATGACAACCGCAGTATATCTACTGTTCACACACATGCAACTGCCAGGCAGGCCAACTTGTAGTTATTTCCAATGATAAGACGAACACTACAAACAACATTAAATTCTTCCCTCCTGTCCTCAGTTCCAGTGCCAGTGTGTGGGTCAGACAGTGTGGAGCCACCAGAGGACGTCTGTGTCCTGACCACACAGAGACAGAGCTCTATGCCGGAGAGAGAACAGTTACCAAGGTGCATCTACTCACTACCGTGATAAACATTAGAGATGTTGCTGACCAGGGGTCAATTCCACTTCAACTGACATTCCAATACTTCCCAAATTAACTGAGTTGAAGTGGAAATGACCCCCAACTATGTTGCTGACTACCCGGCTTACAGAGCTACTGACTGACCTCTTGACCTCTTCCTCCTCAGGGGACAGATCACCTGTGGTCAGTACCTGTACTGTCATTCCAGGACGTCACCTATCACTTCAGAGTGGCCCAGTCTGTGAGTATTCAATTGAAATACATTTGACCATTTAAAATCCATATAAAAGTTGCTTCATCTAACCTCTTGACCTCTGTCGTCTTCTCCTTCTGACAGAGGAAAGTGCGGTGTGGCGTCGAGGAGGGGAACGTATCCGCCCCCACCACACCACCATACTCGGACTATTACTTCCTCATTCAAAGCAGCTGCGAATGAGAGGACAGGGAACCAATCATGCAAACTAGTATGCTGCTTTGAACGTATCCCGACGGACCCAGGGTATCTTAACTACTACACCTCCACCACAACTCCTATCCACCACAACTCCTATGCACCACAGCTGATATCCACCACAGCTCCTATCCACCACAGCTGATATCCACCACAACTCCTATGCACCACAGCTCCTATCCACCACAACTCCTATGCACCACAGCTCCTATCCACCACAACTCCTATGCACCACAGCTGATATCCACCACAACTCCTATCCACCACAACTCCTATGCACCACAGCTCCTATCCACCACAACTCCTATGCACCACAACTCCTATCCACCACAGCTCCTATCCACCACAGCTCCTATCCACCACAACTCCTATCCACCACAACTCCTATCCACCAGCCAATTTATAGCATCCTTACACATTTTACTGAACTTGTTTCGTATCTACACTCTAACCATTCCTTATGACTGAAAACAAAACCCTGTTTTGAACGAATGGTTAAATGTTTAATACACTGTAAATTACATTTGGTTCTAGAACACTGTGGCTTGGTCCCAAATGGCACCCTATGGAGCACTACATGGGGAATAGGGTGCAATTTGGGACACATACTGTGCCTCGGCAAATGATAGGGGAGTCACAGATGATCTCAGTGGCGTATCATGAGTAACGTTATATTACGTACCGGGCTGCTTTATTCTGGGTCAGATTTATTTACTCACTGGTTGCGTCCCAATGGCACCCTATTCCGTATATAGTACACTACTTGCTCTGCGTATATAGGGTATAAATTAGTCTTAACAGATAAGCAACTGGTGGGTGGGATGTGATTTCAGCTACATCAGCTTGTTTTTGATGATGATGATGCATCTATACAGGTAGCTAGCTGATCCACGAAGGTCAATGTTACATAAAGAAACAGGAGAAGCACATTTCAATTTTAAATGCATTGAATCACAGGAGTAAATCCATTTTAAATCTACAAGGAATGACTCACCATGATAAGACTGGATATCAACTCAGATAACTGGGAACATTGCACCATGCAGAGTATAAACACTATACACTGTAGAAGAACCATATCTTTCTAAATATACAGTGTGGCTCTGCAATGTATGATCTCAGCAGTTTAGCTACACGGTATGATCTGGAACACTGTATACTGGAACCATAGAGTTAGCATGATTCTAATTCTATGACTGGATGGAACACTGTATACTGGAACCATAGAGTTAGCATGATTCTAATTCTAAGAACTGGATGGAACACTGTATACTGGAACCATAGAGTTAGCATGATTCTAATTCTATGACTGGGATGGAACAACTGTATACTGGAACCATAGAGTTGGCATGATTTTAATTCTATGACTGGATGGAAACACTGTAACTGGAACCATAGAGTTAGCATGATTCTAATTCTATGACTGGATGGAAACACTGTATACTGGAACCATAGAGTTAGCATGATTCTAATTCTAAGACTGGATGGAACACTGTATACTGGAACCATAGAGTTAGCATGATCTATTCTAAGGACTGGATGGAACACTGTATACTGGAACCATAGAGTTAGCATGATTCTAATTCTATGACTGGATGGAACACTGTATACTGGAACCATAGAGTTAGCATGATCTAATTCTAAGACTGGATGGAACACTGTAACTGGAACCATAGAGTTAGCATGATTCTAATTCTAAGACTGGATGGAACACTGTATACTGGAACCATAGAGTTAGCATGATTCTAATTCTATGACTGGATGGAACACTGTATACTGGAACCATAGAGTTAGCATGATTCTAATTCTATGACTGGATGGAACACTGTATACTGGAATCATAGAGTTAGCATGATTCTAATTCTATGACTGGATGGAACACTGTATACTGGAACCATAGAGTTAGCATGATTCTAATTATATGACTGGATGGAACACTGTATATACACTGTATGAGCTCAGCAGTTGATAACTGCATTCATTGTTCAGGTCCAACACTGACTATATCTTTCAAGAACAATGAAAATACTTTTTTACACTAACTTGCCCACTGGAAACTTAATACACTGTAACTCACTCACTGGATTTAACAGTGCTTGACCTCTAGCAAATGCTAAATTTGTGTTTAAGACAAAGTACTTTCTTAGCTACATGTATGTTAACTTTATATGTTTGAATTGGAGAAGATTGGAGATTTTTTTCTGCTCTCGATCATGATGTTGATAACCCACGCAGATATCAACGCTGGTGCCTTATCTTTCTCTACAAGAAGGTTGGCTTATCTCAAGACAGAAGCAGCTCATGGACTTGATTGATTGAATGCTGATTGATTGAATGCTGATTGATTGAATGCTGATTGATTGAATGCTGATTGATTGAATGCTGATTGATTGAATGCTGATTGATTGAATGCTGTTCATGTTTGAGCCACAGAGTGTTGAAATCCTATTTATTTAAACTAACAGAGGTGGCCATTTTGTGACATGGCCTTGTGTAACTGAAGGAGAAAAAAGGTTTGGCCAGAAGCCATGCTTGCAGCCTTCTGAAAGAGTCATGGATTTATACACTGGAGTATTGTATTATTCTGGCCTTTCCATTCATTGCTCTGGGTCTGTGTAACACTTTTTGTCTTCCCCTCCCTGACTGGAAACAACACCCTTTCCCTTAAGCCATGTTTATAACTATCTCCTCTGGAAAACACAGCTCTTCACATGTACTCTGTTATTAGCCTACACTTTCTGTAGTGATATATTTTCCTTACTCACTGACCACTATCCTCTTTGATATACTATCGACTATGTTCCTCATATGTCATGCAATACAGTATTTAGTATATACATAGTACATTTAGTATATATATATTAGCTCTACCAACTGAGCTACACGGGACGATATTATCTGGTATCTGAATGTCTCAAGTTAACAAAATACGTACTCCCATCTCATGGGCATTCAAAATGCACCATCTCCCCGATACAGAGACCTGGGTCCGTATTCACAAATCACCCCAGAGTAGGAGTGCTGATCTAGGATCAAGTCCCCGTTGTCCATGTCCCCAAAAAAGAAAATCATTGATCACTAATACGGCAGGTAGCTTAGTGGGTGAGAGCGTTGTGCCAGTAACCGAAAGGTCGCTGGTTCTAATCCCTGAGCCGACTAGGTGAAAAATCTGTCGATGTGCCCTTGAGCAAGGCACTTAACCCTAATTGCTCCTGTAAGTCGCTCTGGATAAGAGCGTCTGCTAAATGACTAAAATGTAAAAAATGTAAAATGTAATACAGGCCCTGGTGGGTTGAAACAGATGTATTGACACAATGTCCCTCTGGCCAGGTGTGTTAACTCTTACCTGTCATGTCATGAGAAATCTAAATTCCAAAACAAATAATCTAATGAATATACTTAATTGAAGATGACACAATATAAAGATATTGTAATACACTGTATTACCAATATGATGTTGCCATACATGAGTACAGTGTACCATTTTAGCTTATTTATAATGCACCAGCCAGCCTTTATAGTGACACCAGCATAGTTCTTCTAGTTTAGCACTGTATATATGAACTGCTTAATGCTCTGATGGTGGTTCCAACTGGTTCCAACTGGTTTTAAATGGTATAGAAATGCATTCAATGTTACTGTGTAGCTTCATTTTGTAACAATCTATGCTCCTTTTATTATGTTATTTCTGTTTTATCATTATAATTTTTACTCTTTATTACTGTATCATGTTTGTTGTATCATTAATATGTAAACGTTGTTATGCTCTGTTATGAAATTCTGTGCCAATCAAAATCACTATTCGGCTTTTACCTGTGTCACTGAAAAAGAAAACACATGGGCGTGCACACACACACTCACACGCACACACACACCACACACACACACACACACACACACAGACACAGACACAGACACAGACACAGACACAGACGCACACGCACACACACACACACACGTTTCTAATTAAAACTTTACAATGAAAATATCAAATCACTCATTTTGAAATAAGTTTCTCTTCTTACTCTAATTCTTATGGTTTAAAGCCCTTCAGAACACTAAAATACTTTATGAACATTGAATCACTTTGTAAAGCATATTCACCCCAGCCCCTCCCTCATTCACCTCTATATGCTTCCTGTTCTCCCTATAAATCTATGTGCTGTTTAGTCTCACCTCTTACTTTGTTTTGAATACATGATCATGGCATTTATTTTGAAGTCTTTGCTGTTTTTGTCCCCCCCCCCCCCCCCCCCCCCCCCCCCCCCCCCCCCAAAAAAAAAATAGAGCATGTTCTTATAATATGGATGCGTGCAGTAAATAAAATATTGATTGAAAACAAAATGTGTGTTTTGGTTGGTGGAGGAGGAGGGAAAGCTCTAAGCAGCATATCACAGTCAGGAACATAGTTATTTTATAGATTAATTCTAAGATTAGCACAATAATTTCATGTAAAGGAATCTGGTAAATTATTTTGTGCTAATCTTAAAATTAATCTAATGTAAAATAATCTGTTTATGAATAAAACCTGGAATAAATCAACTATGGATTCTGCATGAACCTGTTTCTCCAGCCCGCTAGGTGGCGGCAAAGGATTTTTACGCTGATTTGAGAACATCGGGAGAACTGACGTGGCTCTTTTCAAGTATTGGATTCTGCGTTAGGAACAAGCAACTCAACAAAATGGTAAGGGATTTGTAGCTAATGAACCATTTCCTAAGAATAACTTGATCATGAAATGCGACTTATAGCTACGTATTGCGATATGTCTAAATTAAGGGTTAGGGTTATTAAAATGGTTGTTGTAGGTAGACGTTTCCGTGTTGTAAAGGCTAGCTTACTAGCCAACATTAGCTTACTAGCCCAATATTGGACTAAAGGAGCCTAATTTAACGTTACCGTTATAGTCCAAGGACCGTAGCTACATGTTCTGTTTTAAAGGCGAATTGGCTCTGGAAGCCAAAACAGCCAAATACTCCAGCTAAACGTGAATCGATTCATAACTGCGGAACGGTTTTAGAAACATAAATCCCTGTACTTTCATATAACATCAACACATCATTTCACAAACGCTAAATGAGTGTTTTAAGCGGTTTTAACAGAGTTGCAGCCGACAGTGTTTTTCAGTGACAACAGGTTTGTGGGGTCTGTCTCCCGTTTCCACCCAGGAGTTCTGAGAAGCAGATAAGTCATTAGCTCCGGTAGTCAGTCCCCTCTGTCTTCCGTCTGTTTTCTGGAAACCAGCGCTGTAACATGGAGATATGGCCGTGGGGGAACCCTAACCCTACACAAGGTGTGAATCGATGCCATTTAATTATTTCTCGATATGAAAGATAAGGTCCTTATGCATCCAAAACCGTACCGCAGGCGATGCGTGTTAATGTTCAGAGTATCAGACCAAGCGTCGGAGCTGAATAGGCGTTTTTTCGATGGCTTGTTAAACATATTTTTAGAAAGTACATACCGGCCGTAACGGGAGTTTTCTAAGTACATACCGGCCGTAACGGGAGTTTTCTAAGTACATACCCGCCGTAACGGGAGTTTTCTAAGTACATACCGGCCGTAACGGGAGTAAATGAAGACGGTTGCTCAGCGAATCTCCATATTTGGTGATCAATGAACGTATTTTGACATGAGGCTTACAGAGCTGGTGAATTGGAGATTTCTGGGCGTTGAGAGGTCTCTAACTGGTTCAGCCAACGTTATGTCGGTAGATAGTGAACTACGTTTATAGCCATTCATCAGTTAATCGAACAGATAACAGAACATGTAGCTATGTTATGATGTTATGATGTGACTCCTGAGTGGCGCAGCGGTCTAAGGCACTGCATCGCAGTGCTAACTGTGCCACTAGAGATCCTGGTTCGAATCCAGTCTCTGTCGCAGCCGGCCGCGACCGGGAGACCCATGGGGCGGCGCACAATTGGCCCAGCGTCGTCCAGGGTAGGGGAGGGAATGGCCGGCAGGGATGTAGCTCAGTTGATAGAGCATGGCGTTTGCAACGCCAGGGTTGTGGGTTCGATTCCCACGGGGGGCCAGTATAAAAAAATATGTATTCACTAACTGTAAGTCGCTCTGGATAAGAGCGTCTGCTAAATGACTAAAATGTAAATGTAATGATGGGAATACAGCAGCTAGCTATGCTAATATAGCAGAACAATATAGATCAAGCTTATCTAGCTGCTGTAGCTAGCAAGCTAACACCCAAAACAGCCTCCCACAGACAGTGCCAATTAAAACCAGAGAACGTCATCGACTGTCATGATGAAGTCAGTCAATAAGCTGGTTGATGTGTGCCTAACTCATTATATTTACCTAGTTAGTAAGTTGAAACCCCTTGTTTATTTACAGTTGGCAACATACCTGTCCAATTTGAAATGTGGGTTATTGTCCCTAACCAGAAATGTGAATCTCTATATTGTCTCTGTTCTTCATCCCTCAGGAGCTCGAGGCGATGACCAGATACACCAGTCCGGTGAACCCGGCAGTCTTCCCCCACCTCACGGTGGTCCTACTGGCTATCGGGATGTTCTTCACCGCGTGGTTCTTTGTGTATCCTTCCGTGGTCGTCTATCTTCATAGTGACCGTTTTTGTGTTGACTGTGAATCAGTGGTCTTCAGGCCCGGGGAGTGGAGACACTGAACATGTAGGCTTTTGTTCCAGCCCAGTATTAACGCACCAATGTCAACTAATACACCCTGTGGGTCGCTACGACTTAGGATTGAAGAACAGGGATTGATGTTGTACATAGAATGCCACCTCAAGTGAAATACATGGATTGACTGAAGTAGCAACAGGCAGAGATTTGGAATAAACTTCCTTAATAAACCTGACAATCAATTTTGTGACTGAACAAGAATTGATGTGGAATAGAAGCTGTTGGTGAGTCTTGATGTGGAATAGAAGCTGTTGGTGAGTCTTGATGTGGAATAGAAGCTGTTGGTGAGTCTTGATGTGGAATAGAAGCTGTTGGTGAGTCTTGGTGTGGAATAGAAGCTGTTGGTGAGTCTTGGTGTGGAATAGAAGCAGTTGGTGAGTCTTGGTGTGGAATAGAAGCTGTTGGTGAGTCTTGATGTGGAATAGAAGCTGTTGGTGAGTCTTGGTGTGGAATAGAAGCTGTTGGTGAGTCTTGATGTGGAATAGAAGCTGTTGGTGAGTCTTGATGTGGAATAGAAGCTGTTGGTGAGTCTTGGTGTGGAATAGAAGCTGTTGGTGAGTCTTGGTGTGGAATAGAAGCTGTTGGTGAGTCTTGGTGTGGAATAGAAGCTGTTGGTGAGTCTTGGTGTGGAATAGAAGCTGTTGGTGAGTCTTGGTGTGGAATAGAAGCTGTTGGTGAGTCTTGGTGTGGAATAGAAGCTGTTGGTGAGTCTTGGTGTGGAATAGAAGCTGTTGGTGAGTCTTGATGTGGAATAGAAGCTGTTGGTGAGTCTTGATGTGGAATAGAAGCTGTTGGTGAGTCTTGGTGTGGAATAGAAGCTGTTGGTGAGTCTTGGTGTGGAATAGAAGCTGTTGGTGAGTCTTGGTGTGGAATAGAAGCTGTTGGTGAGTCTTGATGTGGAATAGAAGCTGTTGGTGAGTCTTGGTGTGGAATAGAAGCTGTTGGTGAGTCTTGATGTGGAATAGAAGCTGTTGGTGAGTCTAAATATTCACATAGGGATACTGTACACTACTGTAGGGGAATGTGTTGGCAATAAGTCCCTTTTCTTTTTTTTTTAGAAAGACTGGATATAACTGTTGGTCTCTTGTGTACCATTATGTTTTGCACCTTAACTCTCTCCCAGCTACGAAGTGACGTCTACTAAATACACCAGGGACGTGTACAAAGAGCTGCTCATCTCCCTGGTGGCGTCTCTCTTCATGGGCTTTGGAGTGCTGTTTCTGTTACTGTGGGTCGGCATCTATGTCTGACAGGTAAGGAAACAATCACGGAGACTTACGCTGCATTCATGAAAAGTCGGAACTTCTGAGTTGAACATTTTCTTTTGTGGAGCTTCCTATCGGGTATTATCTTTTTACAATGAGTTTCCAAGTCGGACATTTCTCAGTTTCCTAGTTCCGACACTCATTCGCCATAGTGTTTCATGTCTATGATCCCTGCGTGTGTCCTGTTACAGATTGTTATATTGCCAAATGATACAGAAGAACATTCCAATGGAACAGGAGAAGGACATCATGAAGTGGCTCCACCACAGACAGAAGATGGACTGCACTGACAAGAGGGTGGGGACGATGTGGATTGGGGTTGCCTTTCACTAAATAAAGAGACATTTGTACAAAACTGCAAGTGTGTATAGTCTTTACTGGCAATGAAAGGAGGCAGCCTGCACTCTTTTTTTAAAGGTCCTTATTACAAATCCATGTCGATTCCAGGTGCGTAGGTATCAAAATGTGAATACTGAAAGAGATGGAAACCCGCACACTGTCTAAAGAGGAATAAATCCAAAACTGAGGCTGAAATGCTCAAATAAATGTTTTATTTGGACATCATGGTGCAGGAATAAAAGGTGAGAACTAAAAGCTGTTTCGGTATCAAGCCATCAGCAGCATTTTATTATGCACTTTTCCTCACTCAACTTTTGGCCACTATGATGTCCAAAGATCATTTATTTTTTGTAATTAAGCCTAATTTTTGGATTTATACCTAGTCTTGACTGGTGAAATTGTGACAGAATTTAAGTGAGCCGTGAAATTGTGACAGAATTTGAGTGAGCCGTGAAATTATGACAGAATTTGAGTGAGCCGTGAAATTATGACAGAATTTGAGTGAGCCGTGAAATTATGACAGAATTTGAGTGAGCCGCGAAATTGTGACAGAATTTGGGTGAGCCGTGAAATTGTGACAGAATTTGAGTGAGCCGTGAAATTGTGACAGAATTTGGGTGAGCCGTGAAATTGTGACAGAATTTGAGTGAGCCGTGAAATTGTGACAGAATTTGAGTGAGCCGTGAAATTGTGACAGAATTTGAGTGAGCCGTGAAATTGTGACAGAATTTGAGTGAGCCGTGAAATTGTGACAGAATTTGAGTGAGCCGTGAAATTGTGACAGAATTTGAGTGAGCCAGCCTATTGATGCTTGGAAAGTGACTTAATTAGTCAGGACTGTAGTAGAAATAAATCACAACAAGGTGGTGATAGCTACATTATCTCCCAGCGGGCACCCCAGTGAATCTGGGAGAATCTCAATTGCATTTCCTTGATTCCTCGCACCCTCTCTCCTCGCCTTTTTCTCAAAACCCCATTGGATGAGAAAGTCAAACCTCTGACCTTCTCATGCAATGGGTTTCAAGAAGGATTTGAGGAATCAAGGCAATGCAATTGAGATTCTCCCTATATATGCATTGCAGCCTATAGGTCAGTGATTGCAGTATTATTTCTAACTTCTGTTAGTAGAGTGACTGAACTGGCTGTACAGTATAAATCTCATTCACAAAGGTGGCATGACTGTTCAAGATCCTCATGCCAAGGGCCCTGGCATCGACATGGTGTAGGAAGTCAAGAACATTAGAAATATACATTCACAGAATTAGAGCTAGTATAAATCACTATGTGATCTTGGGAACCCTCATGATTATCTGGCCCAGTGTTACCCTCATGATTATCTGGCCCAGTGTTACCCTCATGATTATCTGGCCCAGTGTTACCCTCATGATTATCTGGCCCAGTGCTACCCTCATGATTATCTGGCCCAGTGTTACCCTCATGATTATCTGGCCCAGTGTTACCCTCATGATTATCTGGCCCAGTGTTACCCTCATGATTTTCTGGCCCAGTGTTACCCTCATGATTATCTGGCCCAGTGTTACCCTCATGATTATCTGGCCCAGTGTTACCCTCATGATTATCTGGCCCAGTGTTACCCTCATGATTATCTGGCCCAGTGTTACCCTCATGATTATCTGGCCCAGTGTTACCCTCATGATTATCTGGCCCAGTGTTACCCTCATGATTTTCTGGCCCAGTGTTACCCCTCATGATTATCTGGCCCAGTGTTACCCTCATGATTATCTGGCCCAGGGTTACCCTCATGATTTTCTGGCCCAGTGTTACCCTCATGATTTTCTGGCCCCAGTGTTACCCTCATGATTATCTGGCCCAGTGTTACCCTCATGATTTTCTGGACCCAGTGTTACCCTCATGATTATCTGGCCCAGTGTTACCCTCATGATTATCTGGCCAGTGTTACCCTCATGATTTTCTGGCCCAGTGTTACCCTCATGATTATCTGGCCCAGTTGTTACCCTCATGATATCTGGCCCAGTGTTACCCTCATGATTATCTGGACCCAGTGTTACCCCTCATGATTATCTGGCCCAGTGTTACCCTCATGATTATCTGGCCCAGTGTTACCCTCATGATTATCTGGCCCAGTGTTACCCTCATGATTTTCTGGCCCAGTGTTACCCTCATGATTATCTGGCCCAGTGTTACCCTCATGATTATCTGGCCCAGGTTACCCTCATGATTTCTGGCCCAGTGTTACCCTCATGATTTTCTGGCCCAGTGTTACCCTCATGATTATCTGGCCCAGTGTTACCCTCATGATTTTCTGGCCCAGTGTTACCCTCATGATTATCTGGCCCAGTGTTACCCTCATGATTATCTGGCCCAGTGGTTACCCTCATGATTATCTGGCCCAGTGTTACCCTCATGATTATCTGGCCCAGTGTTACCCTCATGATTACTGGCCCAGTGTTACCCCTCATGATTATCTGCCCAGTGTTAACCCTCATGATTATCTGGCCCATGTTACCCTCATGATTATCTGGCCCAGTGTTACCCCTCATGATTTTCTGGCCCAGTGTTACCCTCATGATTATCTGGCCCAGTGTTACCCCTCATGATTATCTGGCCCAGTGTTACCCTCATGATTATCTGGCCCAGTGTTACCCTCATGATTATCTGGCCCAGTGTTACCCTCATGATTATCTGGCCCAGTGTTACCCTCATGATTATCTGGCCCAGTGTTACCCTCATGATTTTCTGGCCCAGTGTTACCCTCATGATTATCTGGCCCAGTGTTACCCTCATGATTATCTGGCCCAGGGTTACCCTCATGATTATCTGGCCCAGTGTTACCCTCATGATTATCTGGCCCAGTGTTACCCTCATGATTTTCTGGCCCAGTGTTACCCTCATGATTTTCTGGCCCAGTGTTACCCTCATGATTATCTGGCCCAGTGTTACCCTCATGATTATCTGGCCCAGGGTTACCCTCATGATTATCTGGCCCAGGGTTACCCTCATGATTATCTGGCCCTGGGCACAGTGTTATGTTGTAGCCTGTTATCTTGATTATTTCAAATTTCACACAGAACGGGACCGCCGAGTGCTGAAGCTCGTAACGCGTAAAAATCGTCTGTCCTCGGTTGCAACACTCGCTACCGAGTTCCAAACTGCCTCTGGAAGCAACTTCAGCACAATAACTGTTTGTCTGGAACTTCATGAAATGGGTTTCCATGGCCGAGCAGCCGCACACAAGCCTGTTGTATTGGATTTGCCCCAAACATATTCAGGACAAAAAGAAAACTGTGTAGCACATTTTTTTACAGTATTACTTTAGTGCCTTGTTGCAAACAGGATGCATGTGTAGGAATATGTTTTATTCTGTACAGGATTCCTTATTTTCCCTCTGTCATTTAGGTTAGTATTGTGGAGTGACTACAATGTTGTTGATCCATCCTCAGTTTTCTCCTATCACAGCCAGTAAACTCACCATTGGCCTCATGGTGAAATCCCTGAGCGGTTTCCTTCCTCTCCGGCAACTGAGTTAGGAAGGACACCTGTGTCTTTGTAGTGACTGGGTGTATTCATACACCATCCAACGTGCAATTAATAACTTCACCATGCTCAAAGGGATATTTAATGTCTGCTTTTTTATTTGTATGTACCCTTCTTTGCGAGGCATTGGAAAACCTCCCTGGTCTTTGTGGTTGAATCTGTGTTTGAAATTCACTGCTTGACTGAGGGACCTTACAGATCATTGTATGTGTGGGGTACAGAGATGAGGTAGTCATTCAAAAATCATGTTAAACACTATTATTGCACACAGAGTGAGTCCATGCAACTTATTATGTGACTTGTTAAGCAAATCTTTACTCCTGAACTTATTTAGGCTTGCATTAACAAAGGGGTTGAATACTTATAGACTCAAGACATTTCAGCTTTTCATTTGTAAAACAATTTCAAAACATAATTCCACTTTAACATTATGGGGTATTGTATATAGGCCAGTGACAAAAAAAATATCAATTTAATCAATTTTTAATTCTGTTACAACAAAATGTGGGAAAAGTGAAGGGGTGAATACCTTCTGAAGACACTGTATGCCTCCCAAATGGCATTATATTCCCTAGTTAGTGCACTACTCTCAACCTGGGCCCTATGGGCTCTGGTCAACAGTAGTGCACTATATAGGGAATAGGGTGCTATTTGGGACGCAACGGTATCAGATCTTAGTAAAAACACTGATATAAACTAATAACTGCCATTACGCATTTATGTAAAATCCATTGGAGGAAAACCCTTTAGTGTCAACATTTGCATCTTGTAACAACACTAGTCCATATTAGTGTAGTGTGTCTTGATGATGTGTCCATCCTGGTGTTCAAAACCATTGTAGTTTATCACTCTTTCTCCTAGCTCTACCCTAGCCCGGGGTCGTGTTCAGTAGGGCACTCCGTAGCAAAATGTTTTGAAACGGAAAACAATGGGTGTTACTCTTACTGGACAAGGCCAGGTAGTCAGTTTTCTTCTGGTGCCAAATGAACATGACCCACCCAGTCAGGCAGACCTCACCTGGTAATAGAACCTTAGTGGTGTAGTTTCTCCCTCAATTACCTCTCCCCCCTCCTCCCTCCCTCCCTCCCTCCTGTCTGTTACATTACAAATGGTGGTGACCCTCCTCTCTCTCTCTCCTGTACTGTAGCATTAAACATGGGTGATTGACCCTCCCTCCTCTCTCTCTCTCCTGTTGTAGCATTACAACATGGTGATGACCCTCCCTCCTTCCTCTCTCCTGTCGTAGCATTACAACATGGTGGTGACCCTCCCTCCTCTCTCTCTCCTGTCTGTAGCATTACAACATGGTGATGACCCTCCCTCCTCTCTGCTCTTGTCTGTAGCATTACAACATGGTGATGACACTCCCCTCTCTTCTCTCGCTTCAGTTAGACTCAACCGTCTTCGACTACGTATCTGATGTCTATGAGCTAGCATACAACAGTTACTCGATCCTCCTGCTCTCACAGTACTCCCTCTCGTAGGATCAGCAGGATGAGTCAGTCTTCTTCTCGATCTCTCTCTTCTGACCTCTCTCACGCGGTCTCGATATCTCTCTATCTCTCTTCCCTCCCTCCCTCACCTCCCTCCCCTCCCTCCCTCCCTCCTTCCTTCCTTCCTTCTCACTGACGAGCTCTGGCGAAGACATCCCTCAGCCAGACAGAATCGTCATACAGCCGCGGGTCGCCCAGACACTCTGTCGTCCGTTTGTAGAAGTAGCAATACAACACTGCAGCTGTGGGCAGAGAAGAACACAGTTGGTTAAATGTCTCAAACACATCACAAACCAACATGTTGTTTAGTCTGGTATCAGTATTATTAATCAAAGCAACCATTTGCCAGTGTTAATGCCGAAGACGCATCACAAAACTGACAAACATGTTTGTTAACTAAGTAGGCTTGTGAAAATAAGAAACCACTTATCAAAGCCTCAAAAAGTACGGCTGAATAAACCTAAGCGATACTGGCAAGAGCAGTGTGCAGGTCTTTCTCAACAACTTACCAACCCTCTGGAAGACGAAGAGGACTTGTAGGCCGTTTGTCCAGGTGAAACTGTTGGATTCCAGCCATCTCAGGTTCTACAGAACACATCAGATCAATGTTTAGAACAACACGTGTACCCATAATGCATTATTTCTGATGAGAGTTAGAATCCTGTCACTACGACTCCTACGCTCCTCTGTGTGTGTGTCCGTACGTACCACTATCCAGCAGTGAAAGGAGATGCTGAGGGTGAGGTAGAGGGCAGACAGCATCAGTAAGGCTTTGAACCTAACCAGCAGCAGAGCGACCAGGCCAACCTGGAACACGTAGGTGTTGAACATCATCAGCAGAATGATGATCACGTTGAACAGGGTGGCTATGTCCTGGATGCTGGGGGACACACAGGTTATATCACAGTTAGGCCTAAAGAACATTGCAGTAATTGTAAACAAAGACCTGATTGTGTTTTTGGGAAAGCTTTAAGAACATTTAAAAAAAAGAACTAGCTATTAAATTCTAATAAACATTTGAATCATTAACAGGCTACAAAACCAATCATGTACGTACATGAACAGCACTAGCTGGATGACGGGCGATGCCCTGAGCAGCTCACTGAAGGAGTTGATAAACAGGTCATAGGTCAGCAGACATAGCTGGACCAGCAGGACCAGCGAGTAGTTGTTGGTCTGGAGCATCTCTGGATTAGGTGGGGGTAGGTCTGGCTAGGCTACGTAGCCCAGGACACCTACACACAGCTGGGATGAGCTTGACACAATCACAGCCTCCACTGGCCCCTACTTCTCCGTCTCTGGCCCTCGGCAGGGATGAACTTCAAAGGCCCGTCTGGCTTTTACTCTTTGGTTACCACAGGTATGTGACCTGTAGTGACACAGCCGCTGTGTCGTGTCAACTCCTTCACCTCGACGACCCTCCGGTCGATGGCTACCTACCGCTTTGGTTCCACCCAAATCTGTGGATTTTTAGATGCAGACCTTCAGTTCAGATGAGAACATTTATCCAACTCCTAGTATCAGTGTTCAGGAACATAGGCGGTGTTATTCCTCAGCATGCCAGTTCTGCTGGCAGCCATACTGAACAGATTGGAATGGATCGTCATTTTGAGGTGAGAAACAGAAGGTTTTCTCAGCTTCATAATGGACTTCTGTTAACGGTTCACATTGAGTTCCTCTCATGATGATTTCTTTAGTCTTCTCATCTTGTTAGTCCTCCCTGAAACAGAAGTACAGAGTAGTTAAATAAATAAATAAATAAATATATATATATATATATATATATATATATATAAATAAAGGTAGTACAACATTAGGATGCTTAAGCCCCCAGTCGCTATCAACGTCATTATCTTCTGGAAAACGAGCCTGCCTTAGTGTAAATGAATAAGATAGTGTTACAGTAGTATTTCAGAGCTAAATATAAGATGTACCACGCTCCCTGCTCTCCTCCCATGCATCTGGTCAAGAGCCAAAGCACTCCCTGCTGTCCTCCCATGCATCTGGTCAAGAGCCAAAGCACTCCCTGCTGTCCTCCCATGCATCTGGTCAAGAGCCAAAGCACTCCCTGCTGTCCTCCCATGCATCTGGTCAAGAGCCAAAGCACTCCCTGCTGTCCTCCCATGCATCTGGTCAAGAGCCAAAGCACTCCCTGCTGTCCTCCCATGCATCTGGTCAAGAGCCAAAGCACTCCCTGCTGTCCTCCCATGCATCTGGTCAAGAGCCAAAGCACTCCCTGCTGTCCTCCCATGCATCTGGTCAAGAGCCAAAGCGGTGTGTAACTAGCTAACTTTGTGAGTAGTGAGCTGGCTAAATCTATTACACAGGCAGGCAGCCATGGAGAGGTCAGGGTAGGGATTACAGATTAAAGGCACATCCCAAATGGCACCCTATTCCCTATGTAGTGCACTACTATTAACCCAAGCCTATAGGGCTCTTGGTCAAAAGTAGTGCACTATATAGGGAGCCTTTTGGCACATATCCTTTTTGTCACCGATCGGCTGTAGTAGTCAACACCGTCTGTTATTGTTGTGGTTTCTTAGTTACGCCAAGCTGATTTTAGCTGGATGGCAACAAGTCTTGTTCTTTACATGATCTAGGAAATCTAAATCCAGCCAAGCGAGAGTCACTTGGGATCCAAACAAACACTTAGCTGGCTAGTTAGCTAGTCACTTTTAACACCACTTCGATACAAAGTGATTTTCGTAGCAGGTTATGAGAGCATTTTCTATAACCCTAACATTTTTATTAACCTTAACATTAGTCTTACGCCTCGACCACACCGATAGTACTTTTGCGTTTTGGGACTTGGCTCTATTGAACGTATGCGTCAAACTGTATCCGTAGACGGTTTGACAGAAATGGCAGCAGAAGGTGAATGTTGAACTTTTGTTGCACACATATCCAGATGATGCTGCTTCCCATTTTGCGCGGAAGACACTGTAGGTGTGATCGAGGCTTCATAACCTGCTGAGTAAATTCTCCAAACCTGCTATGAAAAAGTCACTTCGGTGTTTCACCTAGCTAGCTAAACCCAGACAAATAGCTAATTTTGCTGACCGTTAGCTAGGTAATTAGCATGCGCCTATGAGAAAGTTTAATTTGTTTGTTCAACACTGTCATATGAGCCGGTTTAATTAAGTTTGAAAACAAATCTCCGTATACCTTATTTTCCATGGGTCGGTAGAAGTAGCCTACGCCTCATGTCCACCAGACGCGCCAAAACTCTTCTTCTTCTTCTTCTTTAAGTTTTATTGGCGAATCGCAACCAACTGACAGGTGCATACACCGCCACCTACTGTACTGTCACGACCTAGCTTCTTCAGTTGGATTTATCGGCGGTTGGCATCCAACGTTATTTACATTTTAGTCATTTAGCAGACGCTCTTATCCAGAGCGACTTACAGTTAGTGAATACATTTTTTTTAATATACTGGCCCCCCGTGGGAATCAAACCCACAACCCTGGCATTGCAAACGCCATGCTCTATCAACTGAGCTACATCCCTGCCGGCCATTCCCTCCCCTACCCTGGACGACGCTGGGCCAATTGTGCGCCGCCCATGAGTCTCCCGGTCACGGCCGGCTGCGCCAGAGCCTGGATTCGAACCAGGATCTCTAGTGGCACAGTTAGCACTGCGATGCAGCGCCTTAGACCACTGCGCCACTCAGGAGTTATGGTGCATTACTGCCACCTACCGTACTGGAGTTTGGGCCATAGACAGGGATAAACTAAATCCTACCTGCCAACCCAGTTTCTCTTAAAAAAGACAACAAAATATGTGAGACTATATCTAATGACGTTCTACTCAATATACTCTTTAAACTAATTTCCTGTATCCCCTTCTCCCTCATACTAGATCTCATCCTCTCTCTTTCCCTCTGATACTGCCCACACTGAAGCAATACATGCTCCACGGTCTCTATTTCCTGACAATAATCACATTTTCCTGATGGATGCTTTCCTATCACGCTTAGTGTCTTATTCAACTGGCTATGTCCCACCCTTAATCTAGTAAATATAGCCTCCTCTCTTCTGTCCCTTCCTGCCATCCTCCCCTCCCTGACTTTCCTCTGTACTTGAAATAAATGCCTTCCCTTATTATCTCTATTCCACTGCTCCTGCCATCTCTGCACCATCACTGTATATATCAGTCTTTTTGCCTCTGCCTTGCTCATTGAAACTACAACATCAACATCCCCACTACTAAGTGCTTGTTTAACCTGTTCATCTACCGCCTCGTTCCCCTCCACCCTCACATGGGCTGGGACCCAAGTAAATCTTATCTGAATACCCATCTGTTTAATCCTGCCATGGGTTTGTAGCACCTCATAAAGCAGGTCTTGTCTACTACGTAAGCTAAAGGACTGGAGACTCATTAACACTGCGCATGAGTCAGAGCAAATAACTACTCTGTTTGACTTCCTCCACCCACTGCAAGGCCAACAGTATGGCCATCAGCTCCACCCACTGCAAGGCCAACAGTATGGCCATCAGCTCCACCCACTGCAAGGCCAACAGTATGGCCATCAGCTCCACCCACTGCAAGGCCAACAGTATGGCCATCAGCTCCACCCACTGCAAGGCCAACAGTATGGCCATCAGCTCCACCCACTGCAAGGCCAACAGTATGGCCATCAGCTCCACCCACTGCAAGGCCAACAGTATGGCCATCAGCTCCACCCACTGCAAGGCCAACAGTATGGCCATCAGCTCCACCCACTGCAAGGCCAACAGTATGGCCATCAGCTCCGCCCACTGCAAGGCCAACAGTATGGCCATCAGCTCCACCCACTGCAAGGCCAACAGTATGGCCATCAGCTCCACCCACTACAAGGCCAACAGTATGGCCATCAGCTCCGCCCACTGCAAGGCCAACAGTATGGCCATCAGCTCCACCCACTGCAAGGCCAACAGTATGGCCATCAGCTCCACCCACTGCAAGGCCAACAGTATGGCCATCAGCTCCACCCACTGCAAGGCCAACAGTATGGCCATCAGCTCCGCCCACTGCAAGGCCAACAGTATGGCCATCAGCTCCGCCCACTGCAAGGCCAACAGTATGGCCATCAGCTCCGCCCACTGCAAGGCCAACAGTATGGCCATCAGCTCCACCCACTGCAAGGCCAACAGTATGGCCATCAGCTCCGCCCACTGCAAGGCCAACAGTATGGCCACCAGCTCCACCCACTGCAAGGCCAACAGTATGGCCACCAGCTCCACCCACTGCAAGGCCAACAGTATGGCCATCAGCTCCACCCACTGCAAGGCCAACAGTATGGCCACCAGCTCCACCCACTGCAAGGCCAACAGTATGGCCACCAGCTCCACCCACTGCAAGGCCAACAGTATGGCCATCAGCTCCACCCACTGCAAGGCCAACAGTATGGCCATCAGCTCCACCCACTGCAAGGCCAACAGTATGGCCATCAGCTCCACCCACTGCAAGGCCAACAGTATGGCCATCAGCTCCGCCCACTGCAAGGCCAACAGTATGGCCACCAGCTCCACCCACTGCAAGGCCAACAGTATGGCCATCAGCTCCACCCACTGCAAGGCCAACAGTATGGCCATCAGCTCCACCCACTGCAAGGCCAACAGTATGGCCATCAGCTCCGCCCACTGCAAGGCCAACAGTATGGCCATCAGCTCCACCCACTGCAAGGCCAACAGTATGGCCATCAGCTCCGCCCACTGCAAGGCCAACAGTATGGCCATCAGCTCCACCCACTGCAAGGCCAACAGTATGGCCATCAGCTCCGCCCACTGCAAGGCCAACAGTATGGCCATCAGCTCCACCCACTGCAAGGCCAACAGTATGGCCATCAGCTCCACCCACTGCAAGGCCAACAGTATGGCCATCAGCTCCGCCCACTGCAAGGCCAACAGTATGGCCATCAGCTCCGCCCACTGCAAGGCCAACAGTATGGCCATCAGCTCCACCCACTGCAAGGCCAACAGTATGGCCATCAGCTCCGCCCACTGCAAGGCCAACAGTATGGCCATCAGCTCCACCCACTGCAAGGCCAACAGTATGGCCACCAGCTCCACCCACTGCAAGGCCAACAGTATGGCCATCAGCTCCACCCACTGCAAGGCCAACAGTATGGCCATCAGCTCCACCCACTGCAAGGCCAACAGTATGGCCATCAGCTCCGCCCACTGCAAGGCCAACAGTATGGCCATCAGCTCCACCCACTGCAAGGCCAACAGTATGGCCATCAGCTCCGCCCACTGCAAGGCCAACAGTATGGCCATCAGCTCCACCCACTGCAAGGCCAACAGTATGGCCATCAGCTCCGCCCACTGCAAGGCCAACAGTATGGCCATCAGCTCCACCCACTGCAAGGCCAACAGTATGGCCACCAGCTCCACCCACTGCAAGGCCAACAGTATGGCCATCAGCTCCACCCACTGCAAGGCCAACAGTATGGCCATCAGCTCCAC